TGGACTGTGGGGGAAACCGGAGCACCCAGAGGAAACCTAAAGTGCCTAAAGTATTACTGATTTATCTACATTGTAAAACCCAACAGTCATCTTTATCAAATGAAATGTGTGTTGTTAACTCAATATACTGAAAGTTAAGTCTACTCATTTAAAAAGAGTTTTGAACTCAGCGTTGAGGGTAATGAGTTAGTTATGGGCTGCCTTGAACCGGGCCGAAGCACGCTTGTCCCCCCTCCCATCTCCACCGATGGCCCGCACTCGCATTACGTTCGGGCCTGAGCACGCTTACATCATTGATGATGCGCTGTTCAGTAAAAAGCGCTCTCGCTCAGCACAGTGGAGATTTCTTTAGTTGTATTGTTTTAGTCATTTGAGATGCGGTGACAAGCAGTCAAATATTTCGCTGAACAGATCCGCCACTTTTGACGCTCATAAACAATCATAAAGACCTCGTGCTGAAGGAATTAGGAGGTTTGCTGAAGGTGCAGCTGTCGGACACTGAGGGGTTTACGTATTTAAAAAACTGTTTGCTTACATTGAACAGCAAGAATGATTAATAAACACATATGAAACGGTCCTTTAAAAGTCATGTCTCGTCTTCAGTTTTCGGGCTCAGACACTCATTGCACTCACACACAAGTGTACCACGCCAAAGCCCAAGTGACCCGCGCTCTGGCACACATCTTCCAACCGGGCCAGGGCCGGCCAAGTGAACCGTGCCTGAGCCCAAATCAGAGCACTCACACTTCTCAAATGATCCAGGAAATGGGCCTGGGCACGGTTCGGATAGCATAGTGTGAGTACGCCCTAAATACCTCATTACTTCAACTTAAATGGAGTAAGTTCACAGTACTCATTTAGATTCATTATTTAACTCAAATGGTTTGTAGCAATCAGTTTCCTCAAACTGTTTGAGTTACCTTAATTATTACCTAACTTATTGGGTTTTACAGTACTCAGTAGGTTTCAATTCAATTCAATTCAGCTTTATTTGTATAGCGCTTTTACAATGTAGATTGTGTCAAAGCAGCTTCACATAAATGGTCATAGTAACTGGAACAGTGTGGTTCAGGTTTTAGGTTTGAGTTCTCTTCTTTTAATGGGTTTTACTGTGCTCAAATTGCTTCCTTTACTCAAATGGATTAAGTTCACAATACTCAGTTGGATTAGTTTTTAAAACTTAAATGTTTTGTTGCAATCGGTTTTCTTAATTGGTTTGAGTTACCTTAACTTTTTAGGTTTTACAGTTTACAATAGAGACGTTACACACACAAAAAAGTATTTTCTTTTGTTATTATACCTGTTAAAGTAACACTTTCTGTGGCTTTTGTCAATACTGTGTTAAAACCGTGAGTAATGATGATAAAAGCTATTGTTGCAACCAGAAAAATCTGGTCCCGTCATTAGCCTCCCTGATGTCATGCGTGACGCTGAGGCTTTGATGTAGTAAAGCTGTGTTTTGTCTCTTTTCGTGCAGTGATGCTGAAAGCTGTTTCCTGGCTCTGCTCTTTGAAACGGCGGGCAGGATCGCTGGGTCAGAACCGAGCCTGATTCGGGCCTTAAGGGACTATCCTGTCGCCCCAGCGCTGTCATTTCAGTCACTTCCTCCACTTCCTGTTGACGCCACTTGGCACATCTGTACAATAAACACAGCCTTTCCTGCTCCCCGCCAGCCAACCGTCCAGGAGGTGAGACTCATCTACACACACATGCATGCACGCACACACACACACACTTGTACAGATATCTACAGCTGAAGTCAAAAGTATTAGCCTTCCTATTATTATTTTTTTCTTTTTCAAATATTTCCCAAACGATGTTTAACTGAGCAAGGGATTTTTCAAAGTATTTCCTATAATATGTTTCTTCTGGATCCTGTCTTACTTGGTTTATTTCAGCTAGAATAAAAGCAGTTTTTATTATTCTTTTAAATAATTTTAAGGTCAGTATTATTAGCCCCCTTAAACAATGCTAAATTGGCCAATTTTACAGCTGAGAAAACATGTTTACAGCCTGGTACAAAAGATGGTTTTGGTGACAGCTTGAGTGACAGCTAGGTCTCTCTGGTCGCTGTCACTTCACCTCAGCTGATTCCGGCTGATTAGCCGCTGAACTCAGCATATTCATTGCATTTTTGTTTTGTTTTATGTGGCTTAATTGCCTTTTGGATTGATTTCCTTCAATTATCAGATGATATGGCATGCTGTGTGCACTTAATTGTGCTCAAACCATTCAAGTTTCCCCCATTTCCCAGGTGAGTGAAATTATATACTTATATGCCATCTCTACAAATGTATTGGTTTTATTTAAGATCATTTATATTTTTTAGAGCTGTAATGCACTCCAGAATCTGAACAATTGATTAGCTTTAGGCTCTAGAACAGTCATCTGAAACGTTGTCATACAGTGTTATGCCTGGATTTCATCAATAGTCTTGCATTTACTAACACAGACTATATCTGAAGTATTTGGAAGAACTTCACAGTTTCCTCCTTTAGAAAAACATCATAAGAACAATGCTTACTGGCTCAATGTTTTACAACATTCATTCATTCATTTTCTTGTCGGCTTAGTCCCTTTTTTAATCCGGGGTCGCCACAGCGGAATGAACCGCCAACTTATCCAGCAAGTTTTTACGCAGCGGATGCCCTTCCAGCCGCAACCCATCTCTGGGAAACATCCACAGACACATTCACACACACTCATACACTACGGACAATTTAGTCTACCCAATTCACCTGTACCGCATGTCTCCGGGGAAACCGGAGCACCCGGAGGAAACCCACGCGAAGGCAGGGAGAACAGGCAAACTCCACACAGAAACGCCAACTGAGCCGAGGTTCGAACCAACGACCCAGCGACCTTCTTGCTGTGAGGGGACAGCACTACCTACTGCGCCACTCCTGTTTTACAACAGTGTTTTTAAAAGACTCAACACTTTATTGATATAGTGTACAACCAAGCACATGTGGTCAGAACACAAACGAGTCGCATGTAATGAAGAATTAAATATTTCTCCTAAAGAAAAGCCCGTCTAAGCACAATGCTAGCAGGCATCTGTAGCTCCACTGACGCTCCACTTTCGTGCCCTTGTTTGGTATCCCGCGGTCAGTGTGATGACGCGCAAACAAAATCACGACAGTTGGCCGCGCATACTTGTAGCTTCATTTGCGCTCTTCAGAGACCTATGGGCAGGCCCGGATTAAGAATTCAAGGCCCCTGGGCACAATGTCTAGTATGCCCCCTACCTGGCCGCACCCCTGTGGTTTTATTAATAAAAAATTTTATAATTTTTATGTGACACTTTAAAAACGTTTTTACCATCACTTCAGAGCAGTAAAGTGTAAAATCACAATCAATTATAAAATTATAGTTCCTTATGGTTGATGGATGCATCTTTTTAAATATTAGATATGAAATGTCTGCTGTAGGGCAGACATGCAGCAGTTTTTAGCTGATGTTTGTAATGTTTTAACCCACAGCGGGATAAAGGGAGGGATGCAGGTCGAGCTTTTGTTGGACACACAGACCTCTGTTGCTCTGCCAGATTCAACATCTCTAAAGCAGTGCCCGCTGTCCAAACACTGGGCAGAGTCATCTGGAGAAAGCCTGTGAAATTCAACATGCCCGGAGGAATATGCGAGCGCTTTATAGTCATCCTGACTGGATATTTTTGCATCGGCCAGGCTTCCTGCAGCACGCAATTTAGATAAGAGCGCTGAGAACAAAGATCCTCACGACTCATTCTCAGCTTTCAAACGGCATGCTTCAAAACAAATGATTTTAGGGATATTTGCAGTATAAAAATCTGATGTTTAATGCAGTAATAGGGCATTTTTAGTGTGCATATCTGCTTCATGCATTGTAACATGCTGCTGCTGTACAAGTCACATATGGGCTGAAACAGTAAGTATTTTCATCACAGGCAAGTTTTCAACACTACTTGAGAAAAAGAGTCAAAATAGACGATTCTAATTTTTAAAGGACAATAGCAATATTTGTTATCAAATAAAATAGTATGACTAGGGTCTGACAGATCATTTAAATATTTCAGACCCACACTTTTCACATGTTTTAGACATGTTTCACATTCAAATGTGGATTTTCAAAATGCACAAAAAAAACAAAGTCTGATTTAAACAATACAGGCTTATTATTTAACTACAGTGGGGAAAATAAATATTAAACACGTCATTTTTTTCCTGGGAATAATATTTCTAAAGGAGCTGTTGACATGGGATTGAACCAGATTTTGGTAAAAACCCAAACAATTCAAAAATAAAACAAAAACAAACAGATCTAGAAATGAATTCTGTGATAAAACTATGAAATGACACAAGGAAAAAGTCCTGAACTCTGAAATGTATTTAATTCTTTATATAAAAGGCTTTTTTAATGATGGCAGCTTAAAGACGCCTCTCACATGGAGAATGAAATCACATTCATTGAGTCTTTCAAAGACTTCAACAGGGTGTAAAAATCTTGATTGGTTCTGTGGGTTTCGTCTATCAAATCTGAGCTTTATTTTGTATTTTCTATTGTATTCAAGTCAGGTGATTGGCTGGGCCATTCTACAGCTTGATTTCTTTCTCTGAAAGCATTTGAGAGTTTCCTTGGCTGTGTTTTGGATCATTGTCTTGCTGAAATGTCCACCCTGACATTTTCATCATCCTGATAATGTTGATGTTGGACTGAAGCAGCTGATATTCATTTACAATGACAAAGGGCAGAGGGTTGCTGAATAACTACTGAGAGATTTCAGCTGCTGTCTGGGCTTTCACTGCCTTTTTTTTTTTTTTTGGTTATTACCAACATTGGGAGAATTTTCCTGTTTTTTTTTTATTATTTGTTTTTATTTTTATTTTACTTGTTTCTTTTATTCTTGTTTATGTAAAGCACTTTGTATTGCCACTGTGTATGAAATGTGCTATATAAATAAACTTGCCTTGCCTAAAACTGCAAAAAAGTACTTTAACATGTTTAATTGCAATTTTTAGGCGAAATGAACACTACAAGGCGGTATGACGTCAACAACTTCTGTTCATTTTCTCACTAATGATATTAACAGGAACATATTATTGAAGAATAATTTATTATTTTCATGCAGTTCTTTGCACAACACCACATACATAAATACCACAAAACAACGTGACATTGTCTACTATATATTATCGAATATGTCTTTTCTCCAACATATGCTTTTAACAACACTATTGGTTAGGTTTAGGGAGAGGTTTAAGTCAGTGGTTCGCTGGGTAATCTGTATGACAAGCTCCGCCTTCTCCTTGACATGTACAAGAGAGATGTGTATCCAAAACATATAACAAAATGCACCCAAAGTAACCTATTTCAGATTTGCAAAAATGTCAACACAGGCTCATTGTGTAGATGTACTCCTGTATACAATTCTCTAGAGCACGAATTTTGTAGCCAGAGGTCCGTCTAAATGAATTTCGTCTTTAAAATGAACGCTACAGGGCGGTATGATGCAGCTAACGGCTTCTGTTCCTTTTCGTGCTACCAGCTGACTACTTACCTCCGCATGGGTGGCCTTTCTGGTGTTACCAGTCTACCCAGTAGCTTGCCGTGTATGTCGGCGGACCTGGGATGCGGAGCAGAGTTGACTGTGACGAAGAGGTTCTAGTCCGATGTGCTCAGCCTGCTGGTTTGTCCATTTACACACATTTTTATTATCACATGATCCAAAACACAGCCAAGGAAACTCTCAAATGCTTTCAGAGAAAGAAAATCCAGCTGTAGAATGGCCCAGCCAATTGCCTAACTCGAATCCAATAGAAAATGCTAGATCAGATTTAATAGACGAGACCCACAGAACCATCAAGATCTTTACACTGTTAAAGTCTGTGGAAAAACTCAGAAAAACCTGAGTTCAGGACTTTCTCTTTCTGTCATTCGATTGTAATTACACAGAACTTATTTTTCAGATTTTAGTTTTGTTATAGTTTAATGTTTGTATTTTTGGGGTTTTTACCAAAATCTGGTTCAACTCCTTGTCAACAGCTCCTTTAGAAATATTATTCCCAGAAAAAAACATGACGTGTTCAATACTTGCTCTCCCTGCTGACAATAAAAATAATAATAATAAACCTACATCTTGGATAAAGGGGTGAGTAACAGCAAACCTTTTGATTTTGGTTGTATGGCTTGTCAGAATTCAGAAAGTAACCTCGTGCAGAACAGTCCAACAAATGAATTCTTCATACAAAATAAATACAAAATGCAGGATAAACAATAAAAGATACTGTAAATCCCGATGCTTACAGTCCTTCGAGTGCTTGATATCATTGTGTTTTCAGGCAGGGAAACAGATGGAGCAGCATTCCAAGCAGATCTCCAGACAGTCTGAAGATTGGCAGCAGTCCTCCAGTATCCCACAATCCAGCAGGGCAGAGCAGGAGTCCTCAGCGCAGCAGGCCAGACCTCCGCCGGCCGCTTCACCACAGCAGCAGAGAGCATCACACTCTAGACCACAGGCCAAACACTGAGCCACGGCCGAACACCAGGACAGCACCTCGCAGAACAGGCAGGCCAGTATACAGTGCGCACAGCAATCTGAAACACACACACAAACATAAATAATTGATTATTTGTTCAAACTACTTATTTAAAATGAGCTGAAACAACACAATTCTTGAGTTTTTTGGGGGGGGACAACATAATTGTTTTATGTTCAATACACTTAAATTTGTCAAAACTAATAAGCTAACTTACTTCATGTTGTCCACAACACAAATCAATTTTGTGGAACCCAACCATTTTTACAGTGTCTGCAATTATTATTATTATTATTATTTTATATATTTCTCAAGAGACCCCATAACAGCACTGTTTGGAATCCTGCCAGAATATGTTGAATTAAATTCATTTCAGGCTGATAGTGAAGCCTTTGCAACCTTACTGGCTAGGCGACTTATTCTTATGAATAGGAAGTCAGCAGCTTTCCCTTCTTATATTGGCAATGGGTTTTTGATTTCTTACATGTTCTTCAAATGGAAAAGATTTAGTTTGCAATTAAACAAAAGCCAGAACAGTTCCAGAAAGTCTGGAGCCATTTTCTAAATTTCTTTAAGTAGACACCTATATCTTAATTGCCCATTTTCTTTCCTTCGCATTATTTATTTATTTATTTGTTTATTTATTCACTTATTCTTATTTTTGTTATCCTATGTTTGTATATCTTTGTTTATATATGTGGTATTTTACCCTTTAATTTCTATACTTATTTAGTGTATGATTATGTTTTCCTGATCATTTCTTGTTTGGTGAATTGTATTAGTGCGTAAGTATATATATATATATATGTATACATATATATATAAATATTTTTATCAAGTGGTACTTAACCAAGTGGTTATTTTTTTTCTATCTGGAGAAAGTCTTGTTTGTTTTATTTCCGCTATAATAAAAGAAGTTTTTAATTGTTTAAAAAACATTTTAAGGTCAATATTATTAGCCCCCTTGGGCAATCTTTTCTTTAGATTGGCTACAAAACAAACCACTGTTATACAATGACTTGCCTGATTACCCTAACCTGTAAAAAGTGATTAGTTGACTTTTGTCATGACAATTTGAAAATTCCATGATTGACTAAAGCCCTGCTCACACTGAGATTTCAGCCACGATTTTGTCATCTGAAACAAATTTGGGAAATTCTAAAAGATTCGTGAAATCCTCGGCTAAAATCGGTAATCTTCGTTGGTGATATTGACATGTTCACTCAAAGCCGTATAATGCCCGTTGTGATCAGATTTGTTCTCAGATGAAGTTCTGGCAGTTTCCTGTTGTGTGACAACAGCTATGATGAGAGTCAATCCAAGAACCAATAGGAGCTCAGAATTGAATAACGCAATCCATGCGACAATTCAAATGACCGCGGGGAAATGTCGAAACAGTCTTTATCTTCATGGTTTTATAATTGAAACACACTGTGTGCAACATTGAGATTGTTTAGGTTTGCTGTAAGAAATCATTTTAGAACGCAGGATAGTGAAAGTGTTTTGCAGGGAGTTACATCAAACTCCGGGGGTGTTTTCTTTTGTGTTTGGCTCATCTTCATGTCGTTCAGTCTGACTTTATGACTGCTGAGATCTTACAGTGTGCCATGAGAGCTATGTTTGTGCAGTATGACATGCTATGATCATTTAGGATTATAAAAAATCTCACAGTGTGAGCCGGCCTTTAGAGACAAAGGGAGGACTTTCTCCCTCTTATATCAGTTACTGTATCTGCTGTATATTTCCACAACCTACAAAGACAAAGAAATAAACAAAATTACCTCATGTATCTCATGCTAGGTCGCTGAAACCATATCTTTAGACAGAAACACAATATTTCATAAACATCCAAGTGTTTATTTTATATGTGTTTATTTTAAAATGCTCAAGTCATTCTGATATCATTAAGGAAGTAACATTTTGATTTTTTTTCACAGTTTTAGTAGTATTTTTTTTTCTAATGTCCTTTATCATCAATTGTGTTTACACACATGTTTTCAACATGCAAAAACATTGACACTAATAATGTGTGATCCCACCGTACTATTACTACCATACTAAATACGATTTGCTTCAATACATTAGAAATACTCACAAACTCATGCTATTACAAAACATCAAGTAAAATGCTCTCTCAGTATTTTAAGTCACCGCTATCTAATGTGCAAGAATATTTATGGTCTGGCTAAGTGTGAGTTCATCAAACAGAGATGTGTGACCTAACGGAAAGAATTATCAAACGCTGACGTGAAGGGAGCATTAAACACATGAAGATATATCCACAGGCCAGTCCCAGTGTCGCTGAAAGATAAGAGCAGGCCATGTATTTACGAATAGCCCTGTGGGTGGAGGCCGCTTTTCAAACATGACCCACATGCTCTTATAATACATGAAAATATTGTCTTTAAAATCTGAGCATGGATTGAACCAATAGATACAGTTAACATTTGTCTAAAATCTGTATTCTTTTGCAAATATTTACAAAGTGATGTTTAATAGAGCAAGAACATTTTCACAGTGTTTACTATAATATATGTTTTATTTCTTAAGTTTGGCTGGAAAAAAAGCAGTTTGACAAAGATTCACAAAACAAATCTATTAATTTTTGTTAATGTAACTAATATTAATCAGTTTATCGAGTTTCATCTATTTTTTTTAGATATACAAAGTTTAGTTTAATATTTTTATTCAGTTTGACTGATGTAAGTTAAGATGACTTATAAGTCTTATTGTTTTTAGTTTGGCCAGAGTTTATATATATATTTATTTTTAACAGTTTTGTGGTCTATATTATTATCCCTTAAGATTTATTTTCGATATGATTTTTTTTTCAAACCACTGTTATACAATAACTTGCCTATACTGTAAAAACAATGTGACAAAAGTCATGAAAACAAAAATTTTTAATCTAATAAAACTAGTTAGTTAAAAAATGTGTTAATATTTGTAACTAATATAAATTAAACAGATTTTTTGTAGTATACAAAGTTTAACTTAATATCAGTCAGTTAGACTGATGTTAGAATTGTCGCCTCACAGCAAGAAGGTCGCTGGTTCGAGCCCCGGCTGGGTTAGTTGGCATTTCTATGTGGAGTTTGCATGTTGTCCCCGTGTTGGCGTGGGTTTCCTACAGGGCTTAATTTGTGCCGGAACACGCCGGATCCGTATCTGGCACCTCTGAGATCTGATCCAGCACCTCATTTTACTGATCCCCCTCCTCAACCACCCTTCTCCTCTGTCCATTGTTCACTGTCGCTTTCTTCTGCGACTCCCCAACTCTCTTCACTGTCATCCGCGACACCCCCACCCCGCTCACTTTCGTCCGCAACACCCCTCCGCGATCCACCACCCCCCACTTCTGCTCCACACTTTTTGCCGGATCGATTAGCCCGATCTGTTCCGGGTCCTCACAATTCACAAATTAAGCACTGGTTTCCTCTGGGTGCTCCGTTTTTCCCCCCTCCAGCCCAAAGACATGTGCTATAGGTGAATTGAATAAACTAAATTGGTCGTAGTGTATGTGTGAATGAGTGTGTATAGGAGTTGTGGCTGGAAGAGCATCTGCTGCGCAAAACATATGATAAGTTGGTGGCTCATTCCACTGTGGTGACCCCTGATAAATAAAGAGAGGAAGCCGAAGAAAAATTAATGAATGATGTAAGTTTTGTTGACTGTAAAAGTTCCTTGGATTGAACTAAAAAAATTATATGCAGCAAGATATTTTTAATGTGTAGTTAACACAACAAACTTAAGTACACTGTAAAGATTATATGACAAAAAGTCATGAAAACAAATGTTTTATGTTACTTGAACTTATATTAATCAGTTAATTTGGTTTCAACAAATTTTTGAAAATTCTTTTAGTTTGAGAAACTTTAACTTAATATTTTTACTTTGATGTAAGTTGAGATGACTATAAAAGTTTCTTTAATTCAAAAAAATAAATGTAAGCAGCAAGAACATTTTTACAGTGTATTTAAATGGCACTTTAAGCTGAATACTAGTATCTTGTAGAATCACCGGTTAATTATTATATTACAAAAGAAATTAGGGCAAGACTTTAAAATAATGGTCCATTAATTAATGTTAAAGTTAGTATTAGTAATAAATTTTTTACAATATTTATTCATGTTTGTTAACATTAGTTAATGTTAGGTTAAATAACGTTTAAGTTAGTATTATTTAGTAAGTATTTAGTGCTGTCGTCTCACAGCAAGAAGGTCACTAGTTTGAGCCTCGCCTGGGTCAGTTGGCGTTTCTGTGTGGAGTTTGCATGTTCTCCCTGCTTCGGTTTCCCCCACAGTCCAAAGACATGCGGTACAGGTGAATTGGGTAAGCTTAATTGTCTGTAGAGTATGAGTGTGAATGAGTGTGGCCCAGAGATGGGTTGCGGCTGGAATGGCATCCTCTGCGTAAAACATATGCTGGATAAGTTGGCGGTTCATTCTGCTGTGGCGACCCCGGATTAATAAAAGGACTAAGCCGAAAAGAAATTGAATGAATGAATGAATAAATAAGGTTAGTTCATGTTAACTCACAGTGCATTAAATAATGTTAACAAGCACAACTTTTAATAATAATTTTAATAATGCATTAGTTCATGTTGGACTATAATTAATAAATGCTTTGCAAGATTATTTATACTTGGTTAATGCTTGTAAAAACATTATCTAATGGACCATTTTTTTAAAGTGTTATCGAAATAAGTTATTAAAACTACTATGTTTAAAAATATGTTGAACAAAAAATTCTCTCTGTTAAAAAAAACAGTTGGGAAATATTTTTCGAACAATTAAAATTTCACGCTAATAATTTTCACTTCAACTTTTCTTACCATCTCCAGCCACTCTCTGAATCTGAGTCGCATCGCCGTTGAAACTCTTCTGGCTCTGGGAGGTGGAGGACATTTGTTTTCTGGGAGGTTGTTTGTGTCCGTTGCATTTTGCATGTGGGTTGCATTTCTGTTGTGCTGCAGGACGAGATGTCGAAACTTGTGGTGAAGAAGCAGGAGGTGAACAGGTCACAGCGCACCCATTGACTACTGGAGAAGTGCCATTGGGAAGACAGGGCTTCACTGAAAGGTATTAAATTGACATTATAATATATAAAAGTTCAGTAAGTGCTGCATTTTATTATGTTACAATTTGTGAAGTATATACAAATCCATATAATTCAAATGCATTGACCTAAAGTACTAAGCACAAACTTAAACCTTTTAGATAAGTGGACAGAAGCTGCTCAAGGAAACAGTCTTTATTATTATGGCACGCGTCTGACAGTCAATACATGATTTGATTGATGTGGAGTTTATAGAGAAAGTGTGATCGATGGCCAAATGGCTTTAAAGATAATGGAATACAGGTGTTTTTTATTCGTTTTTGTCTGTATATATTTTCTTAACTTTGATAGCATGTGGCGTCCCCTGGTGGTTTGGAGGTATTGCATATGGAAGGTTTAGCTACAGTTTGTGTATAATTTAACTTATATGTTGTGTGCTGCCACCTGCGTTTTACAGGATTTTATTATAGAGAGGTATCAAAATATGTGTGAAATACAAGCAAGTTTTAAACAGGAGAGAATGGAAAAATATAGGAGAATCCTAAAAAGAAAACATGAGTATTGAGAAGTATATGAATATGTTAAAAACATTCATTATAATTAATTATATTTTTGATGCATACAAATATAATTACCATTGCCTTTATCTATTTTGTGTGAAATTGTAGGTATATGATCAGGAAGCAGTAAAGCATCATCACTGGTTGTAACACCATCTATCAGCGACTCGTTGCTTCCGCTGTGAACAGTCTCAGTCAGGACAGGACCTGTCAGACAAACAATAAAAATCTAAATGACATTTTGCTTTCATACTTTTTATTAGGACATGATATTGAAGGATAATGCATAAATTATTTGATAAGTGATATGCGATATGCTATAAATGAATGTTTTTACAACCAACGTATGTTTTATATTATTTCATGGGAGAAAAAAGCATCACAACAACTTCTGAAAGTGAACAACTTATTTTTACTGTTGCATAAAACAATTTAGACATTTCATCAACTTAAAGTAAAATAAATAAAATAATCATCACCACCAATTTGCAGTTATATCAACCTGAAAACATCAAGAACAACCAGGGACAAAAACACTTGTAACAGAGTGGAGATACTGCTCTGCTATTTGATAGCTTTTGTAACGTGACTAATTTGCTTAATCATATTCAGTCATCCATTCTAAAATTATTACAAATTTATAAACAAAAACAAACAAAAAAAAACAGCTTTGCCACTCTGCTTGGTCTCAGAGATGCATGTATTAATGTACAGGGTTTGCATGGGTGCTGGAAATCTGTGAAAATACTTGACTTTTTAAAGGATCATGACACCCCCCACTTTCGGTTCAGGTCCACCTCAGAATTTTGTCAAAATATGCATAACAGTGGGCGTGGAGCTCCGGTGAATCGGTGTTAGCTAATGTGGACTGCTATCAATCATAAGTGCATGCTCCTCTCGAAATTAGTTTATTAATACACTTCACAAAGTGATATATTGTCTGGTTTGATGTTGTACATTACACTACAAAAACCTTAATGATGAACTGCCAGTACATTTTCTGTTATTTTTCAGGATTTTTTCTCTACATATTATTTCTTATACATTATTTTAAACTACTAAAATGTCAATGAAAGTCACTTTAAATTTTTTTCACTTTAAATTTCACATAAATAAATGGAAAACACTTGTGAATCACAAAATACGAAAACTGTTGGTTGCATTGTGATATTGATGCTGAAACGATATATTGTGCTTTGCTTGTTTACTCCAAACCCTTGTGATATGTTTATCATGATATGCACAACCGCAAAATATTGCACAGCCCTATTATTTATTCAGAATAAATGAAGCATAAATGCTAAATAGGCTCAGATTTGCTTTATAAACATCTCACCTGTGTCTTCAGGTTTGCCGGTGGCCTTTGGTTGTGTTGTGTGAACAGGACTGTCCTGCCCTCCGTCCTGCTGTTGGACATCCATGGCTTCTGTCTCCATTTGAGACGCTTGACTCGAACTCTGAAAACACATCCAGCAAGAGCTCATATGCATGAAATCAGCCTGGCTGTTTGTGGGGTAGAGGTCATAATGAAAACCTCTAACATGGTGACTTTTATCCTCTAAAACTCCATGAGAAAGAAAATCTGACTTAAAGTGCGCAAAACATGCTCGTCTGCTGCTAGGAACTGGCCTGAAGTGGTTTGGGAAGTTGACTAATATGACTAACATCCTGCTGAGTCAAACCAAATTGACAATATCATCAAAGCCCAGGAGTCATAATAAACATTTTAGATAGTTGTTTGCTGTTTTAAGGATCTGCCCGTGTCTTACCTGTAGGGTTTTATTGTTCTGTCTCCAGTTAAAAGCTTGTCCCCGTCTGACCCTGTTTTTGAGTCAGCTTATATGTCCACCTTTCCCGTTACTCATTTGTTTTTTCATATTTTATTGAATCTGCTTGCATTTTAATCTTTGTTTTATTACATTTGTAGCTTGTCTTATCAATACACCAAGACTAATTCCTTGTTCATGTACGCCCATTAAAGGGCTTCTGAATCTGACTTAAGTCAATGCGGTCTCTCTCTCCAATGCTGATTAGATCTGAAACACATTTTCAAGCAGTACTCTATCCAATTAAAAATGTATCTTTCATTTCAGTTTAATATTATTTGTTTTATTTTTTAAATCAAGTAATAGACTTTTTATATTCAAAACATAGTCAAATAAAGAGTTTTTGATTACGAACTCAAATCTGATTGGCTGATAGCTGTCATATATTTTAGTAATATCAGTATCCGTACAGCCTCTTTACCCTTTGTGTATTACTCCGCCCACATACAGCCAGCAACAAGCAGACACTACAGTTTCACAAATATTACTGCCGTTAGACAACAAATTATACTTTTGAGGCATTTTTTAGTTGAGAATGTAGTTACTGTGCAGGTTATTTGCAAGAATAGTGCCTATTTTAAAATATTTACAATTTCTGAGAGACAGCTCGTCAGCGACAGTTGACGTTTTCTATCCACAAGATGGCGACAGAACCGCATAATAAGCCCTTACGCTTAGAAGATATAACACTCTGATTTCTGACTATAGCAGATCAAATCAATATTAAACTGGTAAGAACACCAGCCAACACTTCCGTTTTTCATGGGAGTATCTTGTATTTTAGATCAGTCTCCTGCAAACATCCCTGTTTTATTTCTTTAAAAAGAAACAAAACTCCTGTAAGTTCAGCCACCCCCCTCTTTGGTACAGTCTATAAACTAAACACCCCCGGGTTGCCCACTTTGGGACAGTACCCGATCGAAGCGGCTGCCCAAAACCCGCTGCATCCTATCCTGATTCTCTCGTGTTTAGCGTTTTTCCTTTTCAAAAACACAACAGCAGTCTGGTAACGTTAGTGGATTCGTTGTTAATTTCGGGGTTAATTATTGTGAAATTCCGATTGCAACAGAGAAATACTGATGACTGTAACACTGTAAGAATATATCTCTGTACATGGATTGCATTTCATGTCACATTTAGCCTTAAAACCTTAAAGTGTTAGCAAGAATCAGCAGTTTTGTCATCACTTTAGACAGAGTAATTCAAACACTAGCTCTAAAGTGATGTTGGTGAATTAGTAACAACTTCTGCTGTTTTGACGTCAGCTGTAGATGTGAATGAATGGCGGAAGAAAATAGTTCCTAATAAAAAAGGGTTTTTAGACTCTCTATGTTTGATTTTCTTATTTATATACAGGATTGTGATGTTAAACTGTAGTATAAATGCAATATCACATGAGTAGCAGTGCGATATGGCTGTATATACTGTATATGCTGATATACAGCCATATCGCACTGCTACTCATGTGATATTGCTAATTTGACCAATGTAAAAATGTAAGGTTATTCACACAGGCCAGTGCATGCGTATCAAACAGAAACTCAATATTGTAATGACCTGACCTACAGCACTATAATTAGGTGCATCATGGGAAATGGTTTAGAGTTAGTTTATGTGTTATATTAGTTAAAATACATTGGTTGTTCTTCTATAATCTTTATGTGTTTAAATTTGAGTTGGCTTCAGAGATTTAACACCAATATTTTATTTATTTAAAATATACTGTTCATCATCACCATCAACGAGGTGGTATAGTCCTGTTAAGAGCTGTTCATGTTCTGAGCCGCCTCTTACCCGCTTATTCTGCCAACAGAGACACTCAGGGGAGAGTGGTGTAAACAGTAAATAAAAGTTTAAAAAGGTATTATTTTTTTATTTAATATATTATGTTTTTGTTATGATACTCCCAAAATTATTCCACATAAATCTGCTGATTTTTTTTGCTAAATTCTGTGCAGAAATGGCAAAAAATGTCTGCAGATACTGTCTGGCCCTAGTTATGCTAGCACCCTGCTAGCCATTTAGATTTATTAAACAGTTTAGTTAGGTTATAGCTCCAGTTGCCTACATAAAGCAATCATTACAATATACTTTGTCCTTTCATGGACTTAAAATATTTAAGGCAAATTATTTATTTTTCATTGGCTCAAGTGATCAAATTTAGATGTAAAACCATTTACTTTTTTATTGAATGAATGAACATTTTATGGGAATTGAGGTTTTGATTAAAGCTATATCATCTTGTTTAGGACAAATATAAAAAAATCTAAATTTATTGACTTTCTTCAATAAGACAAATATGCTTTGTACCAGGTTATATAAAATTGTTCTCATGGAGTTCTTTACAGCAAATTATTTATTTTGCATTGGGTCAAGTAATAAAATAATCTAATAAATCTCTAGTAATCTAAATAAAATGTAGATGTGAATCATTACCATGCATTTTTATTAATTGGATGAAAGAAAGCTGTAAAAGTACTAATTTGTATAAAAATAGGCCTACATATTCTGTCCTTCAGATCACTTAAAAATTCACTTATAAACTTTTTTAATTAATTCACATGGTTACTTTATAATAATTATAACAACATTACAAACATTATCCACTCAAAAAAATGTTGCTGGTCGTTAAAATTACTTATTCAAAATTAGTTGAACCAACACAATTCTTGAGGTTTTTTTAGTACAACTAAATTGTTTTATGTATGTTACCTTAAATTATGAACTTAAATCAATTTGTGTTGGAACAATTGTGTGAAACCCGACATTTAATAGTGTAAAATACATAAAATAACACATGATAACAAATTTTAGAAGTTACACAAAATTTATTTGAATATGTAATAAATATCATAATGTAAATATGAAACTACTGAACGTAAGCAATGGTTAATAGTTCCACAGAGCGCAATAACAATGTCGTAATTGTAAAACTAAACCTATAAAAAATAATTACGTTTTGGATATAAGTAAAAGATTACAGTTTGAAGTTAAAATGTTACCTCTTGTTTGTTTCATTTACAAACGCGTTTTATTAAAAGATAAAGTGTGTAACTGTGCATACATCTGCACGTGAACGCGCTAACGTAACGTCAAACTGAAGTAAAGTTTCTCATGACTTGACTGTCAATTTCTATTGAGCTAAAATGATTACAGCTTAAAGACACAAAGTTAAAGCGAAGTCTTACCTTAACTCGAATAACTCCAGTCTTGTACCGAGGATTTTAAAACTCACTTTAATGCAGAATGAACGTATGTGTGATGTCCGTCAGGGAGAGCGAGCCGCATCTGCTCTGACTGGCGCGCGCTCTCAGATCTTGAGCGTTTGCGCGTGCACGACATCCTTCCTGCACCGCGGGGAATCCATAAACAGATGTCTATGGGGAAATGAACAACTTTTTTGTTGTTTTAAAGTATGAATAGTGTGAAAATATACAATCACAGAACATTATAAAGAAAAAAATAAAATAATGAATTTACAAACCAAAAACCTTTAATTTTTAAAATATTTTACTTACTGAAATGCACTATTACTGAACTAGTTCTAAATCTATTACAAAAAAGCAACTGAAATATTTAAATGATGTAATCTTTAATGTTTGATGATGGAAATCAACAACTTTGATAACTATTATCACTTGATTCTAGTAGAAACCAAAAACCTTTAAAATAATAAATCAATGCGAAACACATGTAAATACGAATCATTTTTAATTAACTAAAACCAAAGACTATTGAATAAAAAAGGGACTTTGCTAAAACTAAATTCTGAAAAATAAATTTTTTGTTACTTGAAATACATTACAGAAAAATATATAAGTTTTATTGTCATAGTAGCTAATAATGATATTTTTTACAGTTAAAATACACAGATAAAACATAAACAACATGCACATATACAAAACAAAAACTAACAAATGACAAAAAAAACATTATTATTTTTCTTGAAATATTTTACTTACTGAAATGCATTATTAATTTGAAACTGTTTCAAAATCTTTTACAAAAAAGGCTTTAAAAACAACTGATTTTGCAAATGATGGAATCTTTTCTTTAATGTGTGATGATGGAAATCAACAATTTTGATCATATGTTAATTACTACATCCTCTTGTGATAAATACCTCACTTGATTCTAATAAACCCAAAACCTTTAATACTGTAAATCAATGTGAAATACATTGTTTTTTATTATAGTTAACTAAAACAAAAATCATAATACTGAAAAAATATATATATATATTTTTTTGTTAGGCTATACTTGAAATACATGAAAAAAGTAAAGTAGCTAATAATGATACTTTTCTATACATTACAGTACAATAACTCACAATAAAGCATAAACAACATGCACATATACAAAACAAAATAACAAATAACAAAAAAATATATTTTTCTTTAAATATTTTACTTACTGAAATGCATTATTAATTTGAAACTGTTTCTAAATCTATTACAAAAAAGGCTTTAAAAACAACAATAATTTGCAAATGATGTAATCTTTCTTTAATGTGTGATGATGGAAATGAACTTTGATAACTATCATACGTTAATTACTACATCATCATGTGATAAATACCTCACTTGATTCTAATAGAAACCCAAAACCTTTAAAATAACAAATCAATGCAGAACACAGATTTTTTTTTATTATTATAGTTAACTAAAACTAAAATCATAATAATGAATAAAATATAACTTTTGTTAGACTACTTGAAATGCATGAAAAAAAGTATAGTAGCTAATAATGATCCTTTTCTATACATTACAGTAAAATAACTCACAATTAAACAAACAACACGCACATATACAAAACAAATCATACATTAATTACTACGTCATCATGTGATAAATACCTCACTTGATTCTAATAGTAGAAACCCAAAACCTTTAAAAAAATAAATCAATGCGAAATACATAATTATTTAAAATTATTGTTAACTAAAACTAAAATCATAAAACTGAACAAAATATAACTTTTATTAGGCTACTTGAAATGCATGAAGGACAAAAATATGTAATAATGATACTTTTCTATACATTACAGTACAAAAAATCACAATGAAACATACAAAACAAACAAAACAAAAAAACATAATTATTTTCTTTAAATACTTTGCTTTCTGAAATGCAGTATTACTATAAAAATATTTCTAAATCTATTACAAAAAAGGCTTTAAAGACAACTGAAATTTGTAAATTATATAATCTTTAATGTTTAATGATGGAAATCAACAACTTTTATAACTTTCATACGTTAATTACTATGTCATGAGATTTAACCTTTAAAATAACAAATCAATGCGAAATACAAATCATTTTTAAAAGTTAACTAAAACTAAAGACTACAGAAAAAAGGCACGTTGCTAAACCTAAATATAATTTTTGTAACTTGAAATATAACTCTTTAACTCCCCCACCAAGAAAAAAACTATTTGGATAGCATTTCTCCTAATGTCGCTAGTTAACACACTCAGTGCATTTTTTTCAACACATCCCATCATTTCTAGAATATCAACCTCTACCAAAATGTTGATATGTCAGTTTATGACCAATATAAAAATAACTCAAATAAAAAGAGCAAAGTGTGTATGGATGTTTCCCAGAGATGTGTTGCAGCTGGAAGGGCATCTGCTGCGTAAAACTTATGCTGGATAAGTTGGCGGTTCATTCTGCTGTGGCAACCCCTGATTATTAAAGGGAATACGCCGAAAAGAAACTGAATGAATGAATATTATCCATGATCGTGGGTGTCTCCAGCTTTGTCCCTCGTGGGCTTCAGTTACACACACATCCAGTAGGTGTCATCTGTAACTCGTCTTCAATCCGTAGAGGAAGAACCATACGGGTGGAAGCGGAAGTAAATGGTGTTCACCTCTGTGTAAACAAAAGAACTGAATTATTACATGAATTCACCGCAGATATGATTAGTTCACGTTGGTTTTGATAACTCTTTAGTTTTTATGTTTCTGATGTTCTGAATGACATTGGTGATCTTCCGTCATTTTGTACATTAATCGGACAAATCAGTCATGGTAAGTGAAGCATTCATATTTCTGCACATCTAGTTGTGCTGTTGTGGTTGGTATACATGCCGTAATACCTTAGGACTTTGATATGTTCTTACTTGAAAGAATACCCTGGTCCAAAATATGGTACTTTTGCCTGTTGAATATGAAAATGCCATAACATCCTGCATATCTTATGTTATGTGCACTATCCTGACAAAAGTCTTGTCGTTTATTCAAGTTTTAGGTTCAACAAATATTAACTTGACTTCTAGTTGATCATTTGGTATCAGAAGTGGCTTATATGAAAGGTAAATGCCTCTAGATTACACTTATTTTTACCAAAATAAAATATGATGATGCCTTGATTTTAATATTATAAAATTAGAACAGAAAGGTCTGACTTTGCTTAGACAAAAGTCTTGTCACTTAATATATATAAAGTCGTGCTGCAGTGGAAATGAATTAATATTGTGTCTGACTCCCATGAGCTTGGAGGACTGCATCCATACATCTCTGCAATGACTCAAATCACTTATTAATAAAGTCATCTGGAATGGCAAAGAAAGCGTTCTTGCAGGACTTCCAGAGTTCATCAAGATTCTTTGGATTCATCTTCGATGCCTCCTCCTCCATCTTACCCCAGACATGCTCAACAATGTTCATGTCGGGTGACTGGGCTGGCCAATTCTGGAGCACCTTGACATTCTTTGCTTTGCTTTCTTTCCTGCTCAAGAATTTGCCCTCTCCTGTGGTTGGTAATGTAATGGGTAGCTCAAATGTCTTGATACCTCAGGCTGTTGATGTTGCCTTCCATTCTGCAAATCTCTTGCATGCCCTCATACTGAATGTAACCCCAAACCATGATTTGTCCTTGGCCAAACTTGACTGATTTCTGTGAGAATCTTGGGTCGATGCGGGTTCCAGCAGGTCTTTTGCTGTATTTCTGATGATTGGGATGCAGTTCAAAGGATGATTCCTCTGAAAAAATCTACCTTCTGCCACTTTTCCAAATGATCAACTAGAAGTCAAGTTATTATTTGGTGCTCTTACAACTGAGATCGACAACAAGACTTTTGTAGGTAGTGTAGATGGCCGTTACAGTTTTTAATCTGATCAAATTATGTGTTAATAAATAAAATGTAGTTTTTGGCACTATTTTAATATTTGAACTGTGCCTTGTATATTTATATATAATGTAAATATAATGTAATTTATTTAAGGTGGAATAGACCGCATAAAATTACAAATTAAAATTTGAACACATAGAAACTGCAGCAATGGATCTACATTTGATTTAATGTTTTGTTTTATATTTCAGGACAGTGAAGTGTCAGACTTTGAACAGCCTCCCGGACCAGAGAGGACTCTGATTCGGGGCAATGCTCCGGTGTATTGTGTTTGTCGCAGACCAGACATCAACTGCTTCATGATGTATGATGGGTTTCCCTTTAAATCTGTCCACATTTTTCTCATGAAGTCAATTATTTGATTGTTCTAATTGGTTTTCATGTACACAGTGGTTGTGACAGCTGCAGCGAATGGTTTCATGGAGACTGCATTAAAATATCAGAGAAGACGGCCAAAACCATCCGCGTGTGGTACTGTGAAAAGTGCAGAAGTAAGGAAGAATTCATAAAAATGTAAACATATTCAAAATGTATTTTATTTTTTTCTTATTGGTTTTTACATTATATATATATATATATATATATATATATATATATATATATATATATATATATATATATATATATATATATATTATGCAAAAATCCCTTTTATAAAGGATTTAAACACAGTTGTATGGCAGAAGTGTGTGAATATATTCAGTGTCTAATGATTAAAATTGATTAATTCTAAATTTTATAATCACACTTAATAAAAACAGTCTGCAGAAACACTTTGATTGACATTCTCCCCTTGTACGTGTCATCAGAAGGAGAAAGCCCCGCCCATTGGTAACAATCTCTCCCTCATTAGCATAGACAGCCCTGAGTGAGAAGCAGCCTACCGCCATTAGAGTTTTCACATCATACCTAAGAGCATTATAGATGTGAAGCATTATAAATGTCTTCTGTGACCCCGTTTATATTGATACGTTTTAGAACGAAAACGATCCATGTCCACACTGGCGTTTCACCTAGTGTTTCTGAAAAGATCTCTGTCCACACTACACTACTGAAAACGCACAACACTTGATCACACATACACACACACTCTGTCATGTGCTGCAGCGTATGCAGATGTCTGAGCCCCAGATAGTCAGCGGTTTGCTTTGAACAGTTCATCAAGGATCTAGCGCTGGATCTCATCTTACTATAGTTGTTAAACGATTTATTTAATTCATCTGGTCTCTATCTAATGACTCTTTGTCTTTTTAATCTATTAATTGTTCTCAGGTAACGTGTTTTGGCTGAGCTCAAAGATAAGTTAATATATAATTTTATAAAACCACGTACACTGATTCTGCACATTTGACTGATTGCTTGAATTTATTTCCTATATTGTACAAACTTATTGTGCTATTGATTGCCATTATTTCTTATTAAAGCTGATATTCAGCAAAAGAAAGGGTATGTTTCATATTTTTCAGTAAAAATGAAAGGAGGCAGTTATGTTATATTCTTTGTTTTGTTATAAATATGCATACAGTGAAGATGACGCTCATATAAATATGTCTGTTGTAAAAATTTGTAATAATGACAAAAATACTAATTTGTGCATACTCCTGGTGTATTCTAAGAAATTTTTGAAAATCTCTGTTTCAAGGGCTATGTAGTCCTTCTCCCTATGTCTTCAAGCTAAAGAGAATTGGGTACAGGGAAGGGCCAAGGGGTAGAATTGGGATCGGGTCTTCATCGGACTCTTTTTTTTTACTTTTTGCAAAAAGGGGCATAATAGGTGCCTCTTTAAGTTTTAAATTCATTTTGTTGAGTGTAATATTTTAAATTATAGCATCAGAAACAACCTCCATATGTGCATCCTGTGCTCTAGGTAAAGACGAAACCTTAGAAGTCAAATACCGCCCCAAGAAAAGCAGAGAGAAGGAAGCCGAGACAGACGGGCCTGATACCCAGCCTGACACACCAGATTTTAAGTCAGACGGACGGCGTGGGTCACGAGTGAGGAATTCTGATCCATAACAACTGCTCTTAGAATAATTGTATATCTAACAATGATGTTGTTTGTTTATTTTGGCACTTTTTATGGTTTTGTCCACAGATTAAGCGCTCTGCTCGCATGTGTGGAGAATGTGAAGCCTGTTTGCGCACAGAGGACTGCGGGCTGTGTGACTTCTGCAAAGACATGAAGAAGTTTGGAGGCCCGAATAAGATCAGACAGAAGTGTCGACTGAGGCAGTGTGAAGTGCGCGCTAGGGTGAGTTTTACGTGTGTAAGTTTTGCTATTATAGAAACTTATTTATTGGCATTATAGAAACTTATTTATTGGCATTATAGAAACTTATGTATTGCATGCTAGGGTGAGTTTCACTTTTGTACAATTTGTCATTATAAAAAAACATATTTATTGGCATTATAGAAACTTATATACAGTGCATCTGGAAAGTATTCATAGCGCTTTACTTTTTCCACATTTTTCTATGTTACAGTCTTATTCCAAAATGGATTAAATTAATTTATTTCCTCAGTGTTCTACACACAATACCCCATAATGACAATGTGAAAAATATTTTTTTGAAATTGTTGCAAATTTATTAAAGATAAAAAAGCTAAAATAATCACATGTACAGACGTATTCACAACCTTTGCCGTGAAGCTCTAAATCAAGCTCAGGTACATTCTGTTTCCACTGATCATTCTTGAGATGTTTCAGCAGCTTAATTGGAGTTCACCTGTTGTAAATTCAGTTGATTAGACATGATTTGAAAAGGCATGCACCTGTCTATATAAGGTCCCAGGGTTGACAGTGCATGTCAAAGCACAAACCAAGCATGAAGACAAAGGAATTGTTTGTAGACCTCCGAGACAAGATTGTCTCGAGGTGCAAGTCAGGGAAGGTTACAGAAAAATTTCTGCTGCTCTGACAGTTCCAATGAGCACAGTGGCCTCCATCATCCGTAAGTGGAAGATGTTTAAAACCACCAAGACTCTTCCTAGAGCTGGCTGGCCATTTTAAGCTGAGTGATCGGGGGAGAAGGGCCTTAGTCAGGGAGGTGATTAATAACCCGATGGTCACTCTGTCTGGGCTCATGCGTTCTTCTGTGGAGAAAGGGGAACCCTACAGAAGGACAGCCATCTGAGCAGCAATCCACCAATCAGGCCTGTATGGTAGAGTGGCCAGACGGAAGCCACTCCTCACCTGGAATTTGCCAAAAGGCATCTGATAAACTCTCTGACCATAAAAAACTAAATTCTCTGGTCTGATGAGACTAAAATAGAACTCTTTGGAGTGAATGCCAGGCGTTACGTTTGGAGAAAGCCAGGCATCGCTCATCACCAGGCTAATACCATCCCTACAGTGAAACATGGTGGTGGCAGCATCATGCTGTGGGGATGTTTTTCAGCAGCAGGAACTGGAAGACTAGTCAGGATAGAGGGAAAGATGAATGCAGCAATGTACAGAGACATCCTGAATGAAAACCTGCTTCAGAGTGCTCTTGACCTCAGACTGAGGCGATGGTTCATCTTCCAGCAGGACAATGACCCAAAGCACACCGCCAAAATATCAGTGAAAGGGCTTCACAACAACTCTGTGAATGTCCTTGAGTGGCCCAGCCAGAGCCCAGACCTAAATCCTATTGAACATCTCTGGAGAGATCTGAAAATAGCTGTTCACCGTCGCTTCCCATCCAACCTGATAAAGCTTGAGAGGTACTGCAAAGAGGAATGGGCAAAAATTCCCAAAGACAAGTGTGCCAAGCTTGTGGCATCATATTCAAGAAGACTTGAGGCTGTAATTGCTGCCAAAGGTGCATCAACAAAGTATTGAGCAAAGGCTGTGAATACTTCTGTACATGTGATTTTTCAGTTTTTTTATTTTTATTAAAATTGCAACAATTTTAAAAACTCTTTTTTTCAATTGTCATTATAGGGTATTGTGTGTAGAATGTTGAGGCAATAAATGAATTTAATCCATTTTAGAATAAGGCTGTAACAAAAAATTGTGGAAAAAGTGAAGCGCTATGAATGCTTTCTGTATGCAGGATGGATGATGGATGGATGGATGGATGGATAGAGATGATAGATAGATAGATAGATAGATAGATAGATAGATAGATAGATAGATAGATAGATAGATAGATAGACAGATAGATAGATAGATAGATAGATAGATAGATAGATAGATAGATAGATAGATAGATAGATAGATAGATAGATAGATAGATAGATAGATAGATAGATAGATAGATAGATAGATAGATAGATAGATAGATAGATAGATAGAAAGAAAGAAAGAAAGAAAGAAAGGCATGTTACCCTGCCGACAACAACATTTCATTTGCATGCTTTGTTTTAGACTGTCCCCACCTACATGTATTAAATGTATTTAAACTGAGTGTCTGTTGTACCAATTGAGAGTTTCTTTCGATGACGCCACATCGGCGCTCTTATTAAAAGGATTCTCCTTTGAAGATATCGAAAGTTCTCCCTGGTGTTTTTCTGGTCTCGTCTTAAAATTTCACAACAGTTTGGTTCAGTGACCCAGACTAGAGAAATTCACAACAGTTTCCTCAAAAACAAGTTGATCCATTTAGACATGAAAACTGCAAGCTTTCGATTCCTGAATGGGAATTTTGTCACTGTTTTGAAGCACACTCTAGATCAGTGGTTCTCAAACGTTTTTCATCAAGTACCACCTCAGAAAAAAATTGTCTCTCCAAGTACCACCAAAATGAGAAGTATTGAAGTACAGTAGCGCAGTACGCCCAGTAAAGCAGCTACAACTCTACACAATTAAAAAACGTGGCAGATTACATCAGAAATATAGGCTATATGTCATATATGACATATTAAAATCATAATTTTTGATAAATTTTGAAATTTGTGTAGCATGTACATGACATATTTCATTCCTCCGCGTACCACTAGAAGGAAGCCTGCGTACCACTAGTGGTACACGTACCACAGTTTGAGAACCACTGCTCTAGATTATAGATATCCTTAAAACTAACATTCTGATACTAACATTTAATACGCTTTAGTTTGATTTCACAGGGATTTAATCACTGTGCACCTTATTTTGCATTTTTCTTAGAAAATGTTGCGAGTGAAGGAAGAGGAGTACTCCATGTCTAAGAGCAGAGACTATCAGGACGGCCCACTGTCTGAAGAGTACAGTGAGAATGAGCTGGAGCTGTATCAGCAGTACTGCGCGGGACAGTATGGAGATAACAGCACGGTACCCGCTTCACACTGTCACATCACACTTTAGCAAAAATCTATCTTTGTAATACATCTGGACAATGTTCTTGGAGGCCCGTCATTCTGTTGTTTTTAGCTCGTCCAACTCACAATCCTAATAGTTAGTGCATAAAAATAATACTTTTCTAAGTAATAAGTGATGTAGCTATAAAGCATCATAAGCTATAAAACATTATAAGACATTAATGGGTTTTAAGTTAATTAGGTAGTTTTCGGTTGTGATGTCAGGTGACCAAAATTCAATATCTAGCCAGCGTCTGAGGACAATGTTATTTTGATGTCCAATAATGACGTCAAATGACGTTGATATTTGGTCGATTTTAGGTTGTGTTAGTAAGTGACCAAAATCCAACGTCTAGCCAACATTTTAAACCAACATCATATAAACTTCAAACACTGACATTTATTTGTCAGGTATGGCAACCACAAACCAACATCTGACAGACGTCATAGTGGTAACGTACACACAACATCAACTGTAACATCATTAGACGTTGAACTTTGGTTATTTTTAGGTTGCGTTGGAAAGTGATCAAAATAAAACATCTGTCCGATGTTTGACACTCACGTCAGTCTGACATTGGGTTCTGATGTCAACACGATTTTCATTTCTACCCAAAATGCAACGTCCCCATGACGTTGGGGTACAACATTAATCTGATGTCATGTTGATGTCCTGTGCCAGCTAAGCCAAAACTTTTGTAAGGTTTCAAAGCTTTAAGCCTTGCAATGGAGTTTATCACATCAACAAATGCTTAAAGGTTTGGACCTCCGCTTGATAAATTTTTCCAGAAAAGTGATGTAAGAACAGCTCCTATGTTCAAAATGTATTTATCACTTGTAAAATATCTTAATTATTAATAAGACTGAGCTGCCTCAGATCAGGTCAGACCAAATGTGCAGTATGCAGTCTTGGTAATAACAATGACAAAGGGCCTTCAATTGAAAAGTTGACTTAAATGATTATTTTATCACTGATATGGCCCTAATGTGTATCTAATTTGTTTTTTCTTTGTTGTTGTTTTTTTACCAGGGTTGGAATAGTGATGACGACGATGGTTCATATGGAGAATCGTCTCTGAGAAAGAAAGCTGTTAAGGTCAAACACGTGAAAAGAAGAGAAAAGCGATCTGAAAAATCTGAAAAAAAGGTAAAGGCCTAAAATAGGCATCAAAAAACTTTTAAGCCTGGCAAATAAAATAGTAGCCAGGAAAAGTTATATTTCTTCTTTTATTAAAGTACCCAATGCTAAGGAAAATAAATGTTAGAAAAAATGCCTTTTTATGTCTAATATAGGCCAATATAGGAGAATATGAAACTCATACTTGAGGAAGAATATAAACAACTTTTATTCAGAGATTTTTAGAAACAAAATTTAATTAAAATGTTACAAGTGTTACAAGTAAAATGTTTAGATTTGTCCACCTGTCGGTTTTTGGAGACGTATGCATCACCATATGGGGCATAAGAATATGATGTGTTTGGAAAATAACTTCACTGGATATAACTTGGATATTGACCACACTTTGTTATTATTGCTCATTTATTCGTTTGCTGGCAATTAGAGTTGAATTTAGAAATAGTTTTGAAACAAATATTTGCGCTTAACAATCAATATAAATATGTAGGCTAATGGATGTTTTCAGCAGAGTGCGTACAACACCGTTTCCTTATCCACAAATGTAAAGCAGTAAAGCGAAAGTAAAGAGGCTGAATGGAGGAGGCTCATTCTTTGTACTCGCGCTGCAGGTGCTCTTTAACTGTTTTCTCGCTGGTGAAGCGTTCAGTTTTTCCACTTACAAAGTCCGTCATGTATAACTCCGCAACTGACTCTTAACGGGAATGGGAGATGAGACTGATTGCTTTAATGCAGGTTATACCCAAAATACACCCATAACTCATTAAGACAATAAACACAACCCTGTTAGACCATGCACCGCGGTGCAGAATGTATTTTTACGTCCTTAAAATAGCAAAAGTGGATTCGGACACACCCTAATGCCTTTGCGCCCTGCGCTTTAGACTTTGTGCTAAAATCGTTAAAATAAATCCCAAAACTTTAGGTAAGAAAAGCATTTTTTGCAGTGTAGCCATTTTTGACTCATCATCATGCTTAAAATAAAAACTAAATTAGGTCTTTGTTTTTAATCATAAGAAAGAGGAGAATAAATCTCGGAAGCACAAGCCCAAGCAGAAGCACCGTGACCGGGTGAGACACAGCGAGCGGGCAGAAGTTCGAGACAGCGGAGGAGCCAGACAGTGCCTCGGACCCGGCTGTGTGGAAGCTGCACGCGCAAACTCCAAATACTGCTCTGACGACTGCGGGATGAAGCTCGCTGCAAAGTACATCTGCAAATACAGCACTGTTGTAGAGAGCAATATACAGTTGAAGTCAAAATTATTAGCCCAAATGAATATTTATTCTTGTGGAGAAAGTTTTATTTGTTTTATTTCGGCTAGAATAAAAGCAGTTTTTAATTTTTAAAACCATTTTAAGGTCAATATTATTAGCCTCCTTGAGCAATATTTAGTTTTCAATAGTCTACAGAACAAACCACTGTTGTACAATGACTTGCCTAATTACCCTAACTTGCCTAGTTAACCTAGTTACTCCTTAATGTCACTTTAATCTGAATACTAGTATCTTGAAAAATATCTAGTCAAATATTATGTACTGTCATTATGTCAAAGATAAAATAAATCAGATATTAGAGATGAGTTATTAAAACTATAATGTTTAGAAATGTGCTGAAAGAAAATCTTCTTTCCGTTAAACAGAAATTTGAGAAAAAATATTCAGGAGGGCTAATAATTCAGGAGGGCTAATAATTCTGACTTCAACTGTATATGATATTACGGAGACTCTAAACATGTTTTTGTCTTCCCAGTCGAATCTGTGAGATTTTGCCCCAGCGGATCCAGCAGTGGCAGCAGAGCCCGTGCATTGCAGAAGAGCAGGGCAAGAAGTTTCTGGAGCGAATCCGCCGTGAGCAGCAGTTGGCTCGCATGAGACTAACTGAGATGGAGAAACGCTTTCATGAGCTGGAGGGCATTATCGCTAAAGCCAAACAGCAGGTCGTGCAGTACGATGAAGAGGTTAGAGCCATCATTAAAAAGCACGAGTTTTAGCATTCTGCTGATGTGTAAATACTGCAAACACATTATAGTTTATTGTGGGGCTGGGTGGCATGACAAGTTTCTCACAACACTATATAAACCATCACATTTAAGATAAAAGTTCTAGTAAACTGAAACTGTGTCAGTCCAGTTTTCAGAGCTGAAGTTCAGTTCAGTTCAGTTCAGTGTGGTTTAATTTTACTGCTGAAAGTCCAAAGTCCATCGATGCGCAGCTCCACAAGTTCCAAAACAAGACAGCCAATGGCTAGGAACAAAACTTCACCAATTGATGAAAGTGAAGGAAAAAAACCTTGAGATAGACCAGGCTCAGTTGGGCAAGACCAGTTTCATCTGGCCAAACTTCTTGTGCTGAGCTGCAGTCTAGGCACCAGAGGCTAGAAAACGCTGGACATCCATCGTGGAGAAGCTGCACAAAATAAACAATAGTGCATTATGAAATTAGATGCTTTTTATTTTGTTCATGCAAACTATAATGTCATAGTATGGAGGACGAAACCTGCAAAAACAATGAATAAATAAATATGCAAACAAATAAATAAATGAGTAAATAAATTTGTATATTCCTGCATAAATAAAAGGATAAATAAATAAATATGCAGATAAATAAATGATAAATAAATATGTAGATAAATAAAAGGATAAATAAATAAATATGCAGATAAATAAAAGGATGAATAAATAAATATGCAGATAAATAAAACAATAAATAAATACATAAATATGCAGATAAATAAAAGGATAAATAAATATGTAGATAAATAAAAGGATAAATAAATAAATAAATATGCAGATAAATAAAAGGATGAATAAATAAATATGCAGATAAATAAAACAACAAATAAATACATAAATATGCAGATAAATAAAAGGATAAATAAATATGTAGATAAATAAAAGGATAAATAAATATGCAGATAAATAAAAGGATAAATAAATATGCAGATAAATAAAAGGATAAATAAATAAATATGCAGATAAATAAAAGGATAAATAAATATGTAGATAAATAAAAGGATAAATAAATATGCAGATAAATAAAAGGACAAATAAATATGTAGATAAATAAAAGGATAAATAAATAAATATGCAGATAAATAAAAGGATAGATAAATAAATAAATATGCAGATAAATAAAAGGATAAATAAATAAATATGCAGATAAATAAAACAATAATTAAATACATAAATATGCAGATAAATAAAACGATGAATAAATATGCAGATAAATAAAACAATAAATAAATAAATATGCAGATAAAAAATAAATGAATAAATAAATATGCAGATAAATGAAACAATAAATAAATAAATATGCAGATAAATAAATAAATATGCAGATAAATGAAACAATAAATAAATAAATATGCAGATAAATGAAACAATAAATAAATAAATATGCAGATAAATAAATAAATATGCAGATAAATGAAACAATAAATAAATAAATAAATATGCAGATAAATAAAAAGATAAATAAATAAATATGTAGATAAATAAAAGGATAAATAAATAAATATGCAGATAAATAAAAGGATAAATAAATACATATGCAGATAAATAAAAGGATAAATAAATAAATATGTAGCTAAATAAAAGGATAAATAAATAAATATGCCGATAAATAAATAAATACATTTGCAGATAAATAAAACGATGAATAAATATGCAGATAAATAAAACAATGAATAAATATGCAGATAAATAAACAATAAATAAATAAATAAATAAATATGCAGATAAATAAAACAATAAACAAATGAATATGCAGATAAATAAAACAATAAGTAAATAAATAAATACACTGATACATAAATAAATAAAAAATATTGGGAGAATGATAAGAAAAAAATCTGCTTTCTTATCAGCATTCTCTCATTTTACATTATTCGTGTAAATTATTTAATTATTTATCTAATTATTTAATTATTGATATATTTATTTATGCAGGAATTTGTAGGTTTTTATATTTATTTATTTTGCATATTTATTTTTTTATTTATGTAGGAATTTATTGATTTATTAACTCATTTATTTAGATTGCATAGTTATTTTGTTATTGTTTTGCAGATTTCGTCCTCCATATCACAGCGTTAAGTTTTCTAAATATAGATTTTTTTTCTTTCCCTGAAGGTCAACGAGGGCGATGATGACACCGATTTGCAAATCTTCTGTGTGTCCTGCAGTCATTCAGTTAACCCCAAAGTGGCGCTACGTCATATGGAAAGGTGCTATGCCAAGGTGTGTTATTTTTGAAGTGTCTGTTTTAAATAAATTTAATAGACATTTTAATTTTCATGTCTTTTTAATATCATTGTTTTTCTTTTTAACTAGTATGAGAGTCAGACATCCTTTGGCTCCATGTATCCCACACGCATAGAGGGGTAAGAAAATTTAAATAATTAAAAATATATATAATAATAAGATGTACATAATTATTAAAATGTTAGAAGTTTTTAAGTCTCTTATGTCCAACAAGGCTGTTTACTAAAAAAACACAATACAAATAGAATTAAAGTGAAATATTTTTAAAATTATATTATTTCTATATCTATCTATCTATCTGTCTGTCGGTTGGTCGGTCGGTCTGTCTGTCTGTCTGTCTGTCGGTCTCTCTCTCTCTCTCTCTCTCTCTCTCTCTCTCTCTCTCTATATATATATATATATATATATATATATATATATATATATATATACATACATATATATATATATACACACACACACACACACACACACACACTAGAAAGATGTACCTAATAAAGTGGCCGGGAAGTATATATATATATACACACACACACACACACTTGTAAGATGTACCTAATAAAGTGGCCGGGAAATATCTATGTATATATTTTTAAGTCTCTATCCCACATGATTTAAATCATAAATAAATATCTTCATTTGCTTAACAAATATTTCTCATTACATTATTACTGTTTAAAACAGCATGCTATTTTTATATGGAAATCATAATATTTTTATTTCGCATCTCTGCGATTAAATTTGTTCACACAAAAGCATCTGTGAACAGCAAAAGAAATCTGTTGTTTCTTTGAATCTTAAATGTAACTTTTGATCAACTTAATGCATCCTTACTAAATAAACAGGCTTGATCTTCTGTCTTATGTAAAGTTTATTGTGTTTTTTTTAACAGTATTATTTCTCTATCTGTAAAATGAGGGAGAAAATCACTAAGCACCCCTTTTATGCCTTTTATAATTATCAAATAAAATTCTTGCAAACAATATTTAATTCTCATATTATTTCTGCTCTCTTTCTCCATATATATATATAGTGCTACACGGCTCTTCTGTGATGTTTACAATCCACAAAGTAAGACATACTGTAAAAGACTGCAGGTCCTCTGTCCGGAGCACTCCAGAGACCCCAAGGTTATGCATTTCATACATAAACACCTCATTTGCATAGACATCAAGAATGTTATTCCTAAATGCGAATGCTTTGCGTGCAGATTCCTGCGGATGAGGTCTGTGGGTGTCCACTGGTTCGAGATGTGTTCGAACCCACCGGTGAATACTGTAGAGTGTCCAAACGGAAGTGTAATAAACACTACTGCTGGGAGAAACTCCGCAGGGCTGAAGTCGACCTGGAACGAGTGCGAGTGGTCAGTATATTAGCTCTAGGGTTGCCAAGTGTCCCTTATTGGATAGGATGTCCTGTATAATTCTATTTTTGTACCCCTACCTCGTTCCCCTTGGCCCTTCAAACATCCATTCACGCTCATTCACACTCATACACCACGGAAAATTTAGCCCACCCAATTCACCTGTACCACATGTCTTTGGATTGTGGGGGAAACCGGAGCACCCGGAGAAAACCCAAGCGAACGCGGGGAGAACATGCAAACTCCACACAGAAACACCAACTGACTCAGCCGAGGCTCAAACCAGCGACATTTTTGCTGTGAGGCGACGGCACTACCTACAGCGCCACTGCGATGCCTATTAGGGAATGTAGATAGCAAAGTTTATCGGTTTTTATTTTAGTGTTTTTTTTAGGGATTAGGGATTATAGATAGCAAAGTTTATTGGTTTTTATTTAAGTGTTTTTTTTTTGTTTTTTTAGGGATTAGGGATTATAGATAGCAAAGTTTATTGGTTTTTATTTTAGTGTTTTTTTTTAGTTTTTTTTTAGGGATTATAAGATAGCAAAGTTTATTGGTTTTTATTTAAGTGTTTTTTTTTTTTTTTGTTTTTTTAGGGATTAGGGATTATAGATAGCAAAGTTTATTGGTTTTTATTTAAGTGTTTTTTTTGTTTTTTTTTAGGGTTTATGGATTATAGATAGCAAAGTTTATTGGTTTTTATTTAAGTGTTTTTTTTGTTTTTTTTTAGGGATTAGGGATTATAGATAGCAAAGTTTATTGGTTTTTATTTTAGTGTTTTGTTTTTTTTTAGGGATTAGGGATTATAGATAGCAAAGTTTATTGGTTTTTATTTAAGTGTTTTTTTTTTTGTTTTTTTTAGGGTTTAGGGATTACAGATAGCAAAGTTTATTGGTTTTTATTTAAGTGTTTTTTTTTTTTTTTTTTTTTTTTAGGGATTAGGGATTATAGATAGCAAAGTTTATTGGTTTTTATTTTAGTGTTTTTTTAAAAAAAAAATTTAGGGATTAGGGATTATAGATAGCAAAGTTTATTGGTTTTTATTTTAGTGTTTTTTTAAAAAAAAAATTTAGGGATTAGGGATTATAGATAGCAAAGTTTATTGGTTTTTATTTTAGTGTTTTTTTTTGTTTTTTTTAGGGATTATAGATAGCAAAGTTTATTGGTTTTTATTTAAGTGTTTTTTTTTTGTTTTTTTTAGGGATTAAGGATTATAGATAGCAAAGTTTATTGGTTTTTATTTTAGTGTTTTTTTTGTTTGTTTTTTTTAGGGATTAGGGATTATAGATAGCAAAGTTTATTGGTTTTTATTTTAGTGTTTTTTTGTTTTTTTTAGGGATTAGGGATTATAGATAGCAAAGTTTATTGGTTTTTATTTAAGTGTTTTTTTTTTGTTTTTTTTTTAGGGATTAAGGATTATAGATAGCAAAGTTTATTGGTTTTTATTTTAGTGTTTTTTTTGTTTGTTTTTTTTAGGGATTAGGGATTATAGATAGCAAAGTTTATTGGTTTTTATTTAAGTGTTTTTTTGTTTTTTTTAGGGATTAGGGATTATAGATAGCAAAGTTTATTGGTTTTTATTTTAGTGTTTTTTTAATTTTTTTTAGGGATTAGGGATTATAGATAGCAAAGTTTATTGGTTTTTATTTTAGTGTTTTTTTTTTTGTTTTTTTTAGGGATTAGGGATTATAGATAGCAAAGTTTATTGGTTTTTATTTTAGTGTTTTTTTATTTTTTTTAGGGATTAGGGATTATAGATAGCAAAGTTTATTGGTTTTTATTTTAGTGTTTTTTAAATTTTTTTTAGGGATTAGGGATTATAGATAGCAAAGTTTATCGGTTTTTATTTTAGCATTTTTTTTATTTTATTTATTTTTTTCAAAGCATGACGGTAAAACATGAACGCGGTTATTGAAACATAGAATTGTTTGTCGTAAAAATTCATAATAATGACAAAAAAAATATTATTTTGTGCATCTCCTGACTTCCGGGTGCAGCTATGCAGCTGTTGTAGCTGGTGTATTCTGAGAAATTTTCTTACCCCTTGGTTTCGAGTGTGGTCCTGAAAAATCTCTCTTTCGAGTGCTGGTGGGAACCGTGGGAGGGGAGAACCAGCTCATTTGCATTAAAGGCACAGGCAACAAAAACAGCTACAATGTCTTAACAGCTCAACTTCAGATCCAGAAATATATAATAAATAATCTGATGGGTGTTTTGAGCTGAAACTTCACAGACACATTTTAGAGACACAAAAGACTCATCTTAAATCACAGGTGTCAAACTTAGTTCCAAAAGGGCCGCAGCTCTGCACAGTTTAGTTCCAACCCTAATTAAACACACCTGATCAAACTAATTAAGTCCTTCAGGCTTGTTTGAAACCTACAGGTAAGTGTGTTGGAACTAAACTGTGCAGGGCTTCGGCCCTTTAGGAATTGAGTTTGACACCCCTGTCTTAAATCTTGAAAAAGGGGTAAAAGATGTGCCCTTTAAATCAAGCAGGATTTTCTAGAAAAGTCAAAAATATTAAATCATGTCAAAAAAAAAAAAAATTGAAAAAATATAGAAATGATAATAAAATTAAGTGAGTTTTTCATTAAAACAAGTGAAACAATATAGTTTTCACTTTAAGATAATTTTACTTGTTTTAAGTAGATTCTCACTAAATGTTGACATAATATTAAAAAAAAAAAATTTTTTTATTTGTCAAATGCTTCTTGATCAAGACCGGTTACTCACTGAAGCTAAGCAGGGCTGAGCCTGGTCAGTACCTGGATTGGAGACCACATGGGAAAAACTAGGTTGCTGTTGCAAGTGGTGTTAGAGAGGCCAGCAGGGGGTGCTCAACCTGTGGTCTGTGTGGGTCCTAATGCCCCACTAAAAGTGAAGGGGACACTACACTGTCCGTCTTTCGGATGAAACATTAATCCGAGGTCCTGACTCTCTGTGGTCATTAAAAATCCCATGGCACTTCTCGTAAAGAGTAGGGGTGTAACCCCGGTGTCCTGGCCAAAGTCCCTTAATCGGCCCTTACGATCATGGCCTCCCAATCTTCCCCATTCATCGAATTGGCTGAATCACTGTCTCTCGACTCCACTAATAGCTGGTGTGTGGTGAGCGCACTGGCGCCATTGTCCTGTGGTTGCTGTCACATCATCCAAGTGGATCCTACACACTTCTGGTGGTGTGGAGAGACCTCCCTTATGACTGTGAAGAGCTTTGGATGTATGGCCATACACAATAAATGCGCTATATAAATACACACATTACATTACATTGATTTAGGAGTTATTTAGACTAGAAAGAGACAAAAACAAAGTAAGAAAGGCATTTTCTGCAGTGTATTAACATTTAAAATGGAAACTGATTAATTATTGCAATTTTGAAAACTCCCGTTAAATTACAACATTTGCTCATTCTAAAAACATACCCCTATATACATTTCTGGAGATCGCAAATTATGTAGCCAAAAGCACCTATGGTTGCATTTTGTCTTTAAAATGAACGCTACGGAGCGGTATGACGCCGTTCCTAGTTGCGCTTACCTCTGTATGGATGGCTTTCTTGCTGTTTCTTTCCAGTTAGCTTGTCCTCAGACTTGTCATCGGACTTGAGATGCAGAGAGGAGTTGACCATGACGACGGAGTTCGAGTCAAATGAAGAACGGTTCCTGAATACATGATAAAAAAAAGAAGCTTTTTTTCTGGATTGCTTTTGAAAACCGTCGGTTGGGTTCAGGGAGGTGGATGGGCGGATCAATAGGTGCTTTTAAAAAACACAATTGGTTGGGTTTAGGGAAGAGGAGGATAAGTCAGTCAGTCAGTCAGTCAGTCGACAGCGGCCTCTGGTGGATTTACACTTTGGTGGAGAACAGCATGCGCGAATGGCATTCACGAGAGAAATTTGAGATCTCAAAAAGTGTTCACAGTGGCCTCTGACGCATTTACGCGAGAACAATAGGCGTGAATGGCACTCTTGAGAAAAATTTGAGATCTGAAAATGCGTACACAGCGGCCTCTGGTGGATTCATGAAAACTAAAACTCCAAAAAAATGCAGCTCCTGGGACGTATTTGCCGCTCTCCAGAAATGTATATAGAGATACGTTTTCAGAATGAGCCTGGGTTGTTAAATCCTGTAACATTGCAATTAGCTAATCGCTAAAGGCTGCAAATTAAAGGCAGGTTTATATAAAGGCAATTAATCAATATGTATTTATATACACAGTTATTATATTACACAATGTTTAGTACAGAGCCTCTAAAGTGACTTGCAATGAATAATAATGAAGACTTATAATAATGCAATAATTAATATAATATAACATTAATAATTAATTATATATATTAAGTCAATATACGGTAAAGCAAACATGATACTATATCGACAGAACAGAGATCAACTTCTCATAATGCATATCACAACAATAAATAAATGGCAAAAACACTTGCAAATCACAAAATACTGAAAGTACTCATTAACAGATAATTTTTACAGTGTTTATCTTTAATCATTTCACCTCTTCTTTTCCTCCAGTGGTACAAGTTGGATGAGTTGTTTGAGCAGGAGCGCAATGTGAAAACAGCCATGACGAATCGCGCAGGCCTAATGGCGCTCATGCTGCACCAGACAATTCAACACGACCCAATTACCACTGACCTGAGAACCAGCAAAGACAGATAAGGTTACAGTCATTCATTCCCTTTCATCATCCGTTCACGTTTTTATGTATTGCACTTTTAACCATGAAGCCGTTTTCTTTTTGATGTTACAGAGAAATGAAGAAGTCCTCCTGAAGTCGCCTCACGTTTGTGAAGATTTGTCCGATTTAATCTCTTAGCAGTTGAAGATTGATTTATTTAGTGTTTATTTTCTGTACAAATGTTTAAACATTCTTAAAGGGAAAGTCCACCTGAATATATTAATTCAGTCATCATTTACTCACGCTTCACTTTTTATAATGTTTAAAACCGGTAAACGTTGACTTCCATATTTTTTATTCTTACAATGGATATCAATGGTTACCTGTTTCTAACATTCTTCGAAATATCTTCTTTTATGTTCACGAAAAAAAAAAAAGGCTTGAAATCACTTGGGATTGAGTAAATAGTGAGCACATTTTTATTTATGTGTGAACTATCCCTTTAAATTGATTAACTTGAGAGCAAAGTGATATAATTTATTCATTTTTAATGCAAATAAATGATGATGATGATAATAAATAAAACTAATTTACAATTAAAACAAGAATTAATACATGCCAATAGAGTAAAAAAACCTTTCTAAGCATTCCTAAAACTAGATTTAATATCATTTTGTGTCTGAAGTAATCAATTTAAAGGGATAGTTCACGCAAAAATAAAAATGTATTTAAGAATGTTCAAATGTTTTTACTAGAAAAGAGCAAGGATACTGTGTAAGAAAGATATTTTTAGCAGTGAAACTGATTCATATACAACAGTCATCATGTTTCTGTGTTCGTGTAATCGTTGGCTTTATTCTTTGAATGGTGCTGTGACAATGTGCTGTGCTCACATTTTTAGATTTTTAATCTCATAATCCTGTATTGTGCATTAAAAGGTAAACCCAAGGAAGACTCAATTATTATTTTGTAGCTGGTGAAATATCATTTGGGGTGTCACGGTGGTGCAGTGAGTTGCATGATCGCCTCACAACAAGAAGGTCACTGGTTCAAGCCTCAGCTGGGTCAGTTGGCAATTCTATGTGGAGTTTGCATGGTCTCATCTTGTTGGTGTGGGTTTCCTCTGGGTGCTCCGGTTTTCCCCTACAAAATAAGGACATGCAGTACAGGTGAATTGAGTTTACGTGTGAATGCAAGAGTGTATGCATGTTTCCCAGGAATGTTTTGCAGCTGGAAGGGCGTTCACTGTATAAAACATATGCTGGATAAGTTGGCAGTTCATTCCACTGTGACGACTCCTTATTAATAAAGGTACTAAGCCGAAATAAAAATGAATGATTGAATGAAATGCCATTTGTCTTAAGATTGCATGTCTTATTGCATAAAGGAACTGTTTTAGCCATTCACATTGGTTTAATAGGTTGATTACGTAATCATTTCAATTCAGTTCAAATTTAGTATTTTGTTTATGTTATGAATATTTCCAAACGTAAATTAATTAGCAAGAAATATTTGGTTTTAGGAACAAAGTTTGGGCTCCTAAACATGATTTTAATACTTCCACACTTAAAAAAAATACCATTAACTAGTCATAACTAGGCACACACGAAATCTGTGCACACAGAAATCCGCAGATTTTTGGCCCATCATGTCTATTTATTTACTTGTGTAAATGTGTGTAAATTTATATTCAGTTTTTTAATTATTTTCAGTAATATCATTGATTAATATGAAAATGGTTATATGATTTATTTACAATACAGTTTAAAAATTTATATTTAGTAATCTATACTATAAGAGACTTGCTTTGTTGTGGATCTAACTGGATTTACATCATAAACATTAAATAAGTGTTATTTTATTTTTATTTCATATATTGAGTTTTTAATTGCAGTACTCCTAAAATTATTCTGCAGAAATCCGCAGAATTTTTACAAAATTCTGTACAGAAATAGCAAAAAAAAAATGTCTGCAGATTCTGTCTGGCCCTATTCATAACATGTTTTTATTTAGTCATAACTTATTAAACTAAGTTTATCATGTTCTAACTTAATTTTATAAGTTACACAAACTTTTAAATGACTCGTGAGTTCAAATGACTCACATGGTTAATTTGATTCAACTTAAAAACTGAAGGCAACCAGTATTTCTTTACAGTGCAGGGTTTAACGTTTCATTGATGGAACATAACCGTTTCTCTGAGGAATATGAGGTAACTGTACAATATGTTTTAATGTTTTTTGTAATTACATTTTTTTATTAAATTATTTGGCCATAATTATGGTGCATGATAAGTAAAATGTTTTATACTTTTGTTTTTTTCTGGTCTCTGATCCACGTCAAGGGCCTGATTGGAATAACGCGACTCAGAGGTAAGATTAATTAGGTTTTAGGAATAATTTATAACAAGAATGACGACAAATGTAAAGTAAAAACAAATCAGGAATAGAGAGTAAATATTAAAGCTATTATACAATAGCCAAATACAAAATCATATCTCGCTGCAGCCTCGGTTCTGAAGTAAAACTAATCTGACTGTTAATCAGGTTGTTTAATTTCGAGAAGTTTAATAATCTGTAAGGTTAGGCTAGGTAAGTAACCGGAAATGGATATTCGCCAAGAGTAAAACTCAAAGGCGTTTTGGCGTTTGTAGCAATTCGTTTGTGTGTATGTACTTTAAATAAGAAAGTAGCTATTCCAAAAAACTCAATTATACTGGATTTTTTTTATTCTAATATAGCCTAGGTTTTATTTGTCCAGGCAAGTGGGTCGCGTATTTGTGGGGTCTAGAAACATTTCAGTGTAGCGACGCGTGAGTGGGCGATATTCATATAAAAATTATTTATATTGTTACAAACGTATCAAAGAATGTGCGAGAACCTGCTGTTATTGTATGTAGAAGCGGTGATGCTGTGCATCATTGCTTTTAACAAGAGGATTAATTTAGAGGCAATTATTTTTGCACGCTGACTGACCAAACGCTACTCCATCGCTAAATTTAATTGTTCGAAAGCTTGGGACTTCCTACGAAGCCCGAGTTCGCGCATGCGCAGTAGAATCACCGAAAGTATCGCTGATCGGGGAGAACGAGGCGCAGACGAACGGCTCGATCGAGTGCGTGAGACGCGATGAGGTAAGACTGTCAAAATACTGCCAAAATATTCGAGTGTTTGAATTTATGCACAACCGAATCGCGTGTTTATAAAATGTAGACAACGTCAAAATTAGGAGATATCGCTGTGTTGTTGATATTCGAGAGATCGGCGTGGTTTCCGTGCAGCAGAAAGCGTTCAGAAAGTCGTTTCGAGGCTGCACCGCTGAAAGCATTGGGAGTGTGGAAGGGGAGGGTCACAACAGAAGGGGGGGCCGCTGGAGCTCATTCAGCACAGCGAAATGGACGTTCTGGAGTCGTGTAAATAAACTTATCGTGTCCTTATAGTGTTACACAAATATTAAGGGAGGCTGGCAATGAAATAGGCTTGTCAAACGCGCGGTTTTCGGCACTGTTGTTGTTAGATGTCACGACATTTAAAGCGTGTTTCTGGTCGCGAGTCGGGAGCACATTCCTCCAGCAGCGAGCGAGCGAGCGAGCGATCTGTAATGGAGGCTGGCGAAAACTCGTGTCGATGTTTACGATGTGTTTACTGAGCTCGCCGATAGTTTTTAATTATGTTATCGCCTGGTGTATGGTTTAGGAGATGCACAGGGTTGCAAACTATACTAAAACTTTAAGTTTTTAATTAGTTTATTGGGCGCTGTAATAAAATTGATCGTCTATTCAGATCTTTTATATGATATCGATGACGCGTTTTTTGTACGATCAATTAATAATGTGTCACGAGTGTAAACACTTATATTAAAATTATTCATATTGAAATGTATGCATATTTTTAATATTTAAGTCACACGTAATCTGTCACAGTATTTCTTGTCAATTTAGTCAAAAACGTATTTTTATAAAAAATACAAAATTGTCAATACAATTTTGCATAAGGCATCTAAATATTAATTTTGTATATTAAATATACATATTTAGCTTCGTTTCCGTGTGAAATTTTGTTATAAGGACACTTGTCATGCTGTAAAAAACTATCATAGTAGTTAATCACAGTAAACGCAGTACAATATGCCATAAACACGGTACAAACACAACGATTATTACGAAATCACCATTTTGGATTCAGTTGCATCCCATTATAAGGACAACGACAAGGTTTAATTGTTGAAACATTTTTATGATGTTTTTATCGAGTTCATTTGGGTGAGAATAATTAACACTTTCGCTTTTAAGTTAATCTCGCTTTTACTTTGTTTGCTCTGTTCTGCATTTTTACATCAGCGAGTTCTGTTTATTTAGCAACAGTATCAATAGTGAAATCTGCTGTTTGTTCATCTCATTACAATTATTGCGTTTCATGACTAGATTGGAGGTTTTGGACATTAAATACGTAGCTTTAACATTATATTTAGGGCATCAGGTGATCATGTGTATTAAATATGCACCGTTCACTTTGTTTCTGTGTGAAATTTCTAGGACTGGTCATGCTGTAAAAACAACAGTGTCATAATCACAATAATCACAGTAAATACAGTACAAACACAACGATTATGATTAACAAATCAAGACAAAGGTTTTTAGATTATGTTTCATCCATTATAATTGTTGAAACGTTGTTCAAAAGTTGTTTTTATTATTCTTTTTGAAACCTTTTATAGTTTTTTTTTTTTTTTAGTTTCATTTGGTGGAATGATTAACAAACACATTTGCTTTTCAGTTAATTGTGGTTTATTGTGATTGTTCAGCATTTTTACCTCAGCAAATTCTCTTTATTTTGCAACAGAATCAATAGAGAAATCTGCTAATGTTTCATCTCATTACAAATAATGCGTTTCATCATGACTATATTGGAGGTGGTCATTAAATAAGTTCCTTTTACATTTTGCATAAGACGTAGTAATCTTGTGTATTAAATATACATCGTTCTATTTGTTTCTGTGCGAAATTTCGTTATTAGGGCTCTTTTTTTTTCATTATTAGGATTTATGTCATGCTGTCACAACAGCAGTGCCATAATCACTCTAAACACAGTACAAACACAAAGGTTTTTAGATTGCGTTGCATCCTTTATAAGGATTGTTGAAACGTTTTTGAAGGTTATGCTTTTATGATGTTATTTTTTAGTTTCATTTGGGTGAGACTGAATAACACTTTTGTTTTTTGAACTAATTGTTGTTTACTATGGTTGCATTGTTCTGTATTTTTACGTCAGCGGGTTCTGTTTATTTTGCAACAGTAAAGAGAAATCTGCTTGTTGTTCATCTCGTATTGCGTTTTATGACTAGATTGGAGGTTACCATGAAGAGTTTATTAAATAAATACCTTTAACATTTTGCATGAGACATCTGGTAATCTTGTGTATTAAATATGCACTATTCACTTAGTTTCTGTGTGATATGTCGTTATTAGGACACTTGTCATGCTGTCAAAACAGCAGTGCCATAATCACAGTAAACACAGTACAAGCACAACTATGATAATTACCAAATCAAAACAGTTTTTAGATTGTTGCGTCCCATTATAATTGTTGAAACGTTGTTCAAAAGTTTTCGTTATTTATTTAAACTTTTTATAGTTTTTAGTTTCATTTGGGTGGAATGATTAACAAACACTCGCTTTTCAGCTAATTGTGGTTTACTATGATTGTTCTGGGTTTCTACATCAGCGAGTTCTGTTTATTTTGCAACAGTATCTATGGAGAAACAGGCTAGTTGTTCATCTCAGATTGCGTTTCATGGCTGAATTGGAGGTGACCTTGAAGAGTCTGATCCTTAAATAAGTACCTTTAACATTTTGCATAAGGCATCTATTAATCTTGTATATTAAATATACACCATTCACTTTGTTTCTGTGTGAAATTTCTTTAGTAGGGCTCTTGTCAAGCTGTCAAAACAGCAATGCCATAATCACAGTAAACACAGTACAAACAAATGATAATTACCAATTTAAAACAACGTTTTTAGATTGTTGCATCCCATTATAATTGTTGAAACATTTTTTAAAAGTTGCTTTTTATTATTCTTTTAAACCTTTTATAGATTTTAGTTTTTTGAGAATTTGAGTTTCATTTGGGTGAGAATGATTAACAAACACATTTGCTTTTCAGCTAATTGTGGTTTACTATGATTGTTCTGTATTTTTATGTCAGCGAGTTCTGTTTATTTAGCAACAGTATCAATGGAGAAATCTGCTCATTGTTCATCTCATTACAAATATAGCGTCTCATGACTAGATTGGAGGTTTTGGTCATTAAATTAGTACCTTTAACATTTATCATGAGGCATCTGGTAATCTTATATATTACATATAAACCATTCACTTCGTTTCTGTGTGAAATTTTGTTATTAGGACTCTTGTCATGCTGTCAAAACAACAGGACAAACACAAAAATTATTGCCAAAGCAAAACAAATGATTTTAGATTCTGTTGCATCTCATTATAATTGTTGAAATGCTGTTTACAAGTTACTTTTATTATTCTTTTAAACTTTTTATTTATTTTTTGAGTTTCATTTGGTAATGATTAAGAAATACTTTCGCTTTTTAGCTAATTGTGGTTTACTATGATAGTTCTGCATTTTTATTTCAGCGAGTTCTGTTTATTTCACGACTGTGTCGATATTAAAATCTGCTAGTTGTTCATCTCATATTGCGTTTCATGACTAGATTGGAGGTTTTGGTCATTAAATTAGTACTTTTGCATTTTTCATGAGGTATCTGGTAATCTTGTATATTAAATATACACCGTTCACTTCGTTTCTGTGTGAAATTTCATTAGTAGGACTCTTGTCATGCTGTCAAAGCAGCAGTGCCATAATCACAGTAAACACAGTACAAACACGATTATTACCAAATCAAAATTAAGGTTTTTAGATTGTTGCATCCCATTATAAGGATTGTTAAATGTTTTAAATGTTATCTTTTTATGATGTAATTTTTAAGTTTCATTTGGTTGAGAATGATTAACAAACACTTCAGCTTTTCAGTTAATTGTGGTTTACTGTCTTTGCTCTGTTCTGCATTTTTACATCAGTGAGTTCTGTTTATTTTGCAACAGTATTAATGGAGAAATCTGCTAGTTGTTTATCTCGTATTGCGTTTCACGACTAGATTGAATGTTTTGGTCATTAAATAAGTACCTTTAACATTGCATAGGGCATCTAGGACTCTTGTATATTAAATATACACTATTCACCTAGTTTCTGTGTGAAATATTGTTATTTGGACTCTTGTCATGCTGTCAAAACAACAGGACCGGGAACACAGTACAAACACAACATTGATTACCAAATAAAAACAAACTGTTTTAGATTCTGTTGCATCCCATTATAACTGTTGAAACATTGTTCACAAGTTGCTTTTTTTTATTCTTTTAAACCTTTTATAAATTTTTGTTTTTTGAGAATTTGAGTTTCATTTGGGTAAGAATGATTAACAAACACATTTGCTTTTCAGCTAATTGTGGTTTACTGTGATTGTTAGATTAGAGAACAGATTAGAGAATTCTGCAATTTCTTCATCTCTACAAATATTGAGTTTCATGACTAGATTGGAGGTTACCATGAAGAGTTTTGGTCGTTATATAACTTGCAAATCTAGTGCATACTTTGTTCTTAGTAGCAAGAATAAACTGAGAAGATTATATAGATTGTTTTCTGCTTATAAGAGATGGTTGAAAATATCCAACTTTGGATTTGATGTTTACTATTTCTAAACAGATTTAATGAATTCCTTGTTGAGTTGGTAAGCTTCACAAAATATAATCATCTTGCTCAACAAACTGTATTTTGAACTATAAACAAATCCCTCTGTGATCTAGATTTGAGCTGAAACCAACAGCAAGGTTTAGTTTTCTACTGAGATGCTGATTAAATCGAGTTTGTCATGTTTGTATTGCATTGTAGTAGTGTTCACTATCTTGATCAACCTTTCAACATTTTTGCCCTTAAACATTTGATCTTAATTACTAATAATTAGGGTTTAAGGAAATGAAGTGCAAATTTGAACAGTGCCTGCTGCAGCGTAGCGTTTTTCATTGCCATAGTAATTGCGCTGCATTGCAGATATCGAATGTTCTCAGCTCATTTGTATTGACCTCTCTGCCGTCACTGCTGGGCTCGCTGCAAAAAGCATCGCCATGGCAACCGCTCGTTTCAGCCCCGTTCTATAAATATTCTGCTTCACGCTAGTCTATCGTGTTTCTGCTCGCTCGAGCAACAGCCCAATTTAATACAGGCATTTTATTTACATCGGTGCAGTAGCTGCTTTCTTATAAGCTATTGGCATGCAGCTCACAATACAAGCACGTAAAATAAACACGTAAATAAAAAGACATATTCCTTTTTATTTATTAAGCAATAATCCCGATGTGTGATTTGCTTGCAGTCTTTTTCAATGTCACATTTAGCATCTTGGTAAGAGAATGTAATTTGCTGTTTAACTTAGTTTTCCTAACATCTGTTTTTTTTTTCTTCACAGGATTATCATTATGATCTAAAACCAGCAAAGTCATGGATGAAACACTGGATTATTATTGACATTGAATGCGATCAAGGCTTTTCACGACATTTTTTTTAAAGCATTTATTTCACTTTTGTGATCTAAATGGTCATTTTGTTTCCTGTTTAAAAATGTGAGCCTGAAGATTATTGGGATGACTCACGATTACTGGTCTCACAAATCTACTGATAAAATAAAGGCCCATGTGAGGCTGGAGGAGGAGATCGGATATGACGGATGAGCTGAACGAGCTATCACCTGAATCTGAGATCTTGAAACCAGAAGACGCTGTGCCAGCATACTTAAACGAGATGCATCCGATCGGAGAAGACGTTGATAGTGACGTTGAGGATGACGACATGTCCTGCAAAGTGACGGTTGAGTTATTACCTGATTGGTTGAAGCCTATGGAGGAGGAGGAAGTTGGTGTTGATGAGCTCATGAGCGCTGGACGGATCAACCGGAGAAAAACTAAAGAAAAACCGTATGTGCCTACCTGACTATTCCTTGTGTTTTGTTTACATGTTTGAAGGTTAAAGAGAGGTCAAAATGTCTGAGAATACATTGAATTATGCGTTTATTACAGTTTTTATCACCAAGTTGTTTTTGTTGATGCTTGTTTTATTGCAAAAGTAGTCAAAAATGGTACAAATGATCGGGGTGACTTGTACAAAACTGTCCTTACTGTACTTGACTGTACCGCACCGCTCAGTGGAAATGAGGCATTAGAAAGCTCAATTGAGATAAAGCTGGTTTTATGTTTTTTTTACGTTCTTTAATAATTTAATATCAGAAAGGTGTCCTTCAGAAGGTCAGGATTCACACTCATTAAATAATTGCTTTGTATAGTTTTTATTTTACATTCTTCAGGTCATACAAAACACAGACGTTTCAGCACAATGCCTTCCTCCGTGTGTGACAATCTTCTCACTCCACCCGTTTGTCCCACAGTCAATCACATTGTGTCGTTAGTTAGACAGCCACTTGATAATTAAAAATAAATAAATATATATATATATATGTGTATATATATATATATATGTGTGTGTATATATATATATATATATGATAGAACAGAGCATAACAGGATAGATACATTCATATTTCAAGTGAGGAAATTAAAATCTCCCATATATCTATCAACATTTTATCATATGATACATTCTCAATCATGGATTCTATCCATAATTTAGTATTGGGCATTAAATATCTTTCCAAAACCTCAGTATTGTACAGTTGAAACCAGAAGTTTACATACACTCTAAAAAAAGGAACATACCCATTAAAAAAAAAAAAAGGTCTGACGGTAAATCATACTTAACGTTTACTATTTTAGATCCGTTAGGATTTCCTCAATGATTTATATTTGCTGAATGCCAGAATAATCAGAGAATTTTTTTTATTAATTTCTAGACAGTCAAAAGTTTAAATACATTTTATTGGTATTTTTTAGCTTTGCTTTTAAACTGTATAACTTTGGTCAAATGTTTTGGGTCTCCTTCCACAACTTCTCACTATAGTTTGAAAGAATTTTGGCCCATTCCTTCTAACAGAATTGGTGTAACCGAGTCAGATTTGTTGGCTGTATTGCTTGCTTGAGTTCAGGGCTTTGTGATGGCCACTCCAAAACATTCACTCTATTGTCCTTAAATCACATTTTAACTAATTTCGCAGTTTGCTTAAGGTCATGGTCTGTTTGGAAGACCCATTTGTGGCAAAGTTTTAATTTCCTGGCTGATGTCTTGAGATGTTGCTTCAGTATTTCCACATGTTTTTTCTTCATGATGCCATCTATGCAGTGAAGTGGACCAGTCCCTCCTGCAGCAAAACAGCCCCACATGATGCTGGCGCCCCCATACTTCACAGTTGGGATGGTGTTCCAAGGGTTGTAAGCTTTCCCCTTTGTCCTCCAAATGCAACACTGGTCATTATGGCCAAACAGTTCAATCTTAGTTCCATCAGACCACAGGACATGTCTCCAAACATTATTCTGTTTCTCAGTGTAATTTAGCAAAGTGTAATCTGCCTTTTTTGTTAATTCTGGCTTGTTGATTTTCCCATGTCACACGAGAAAGCAGTGTGTTTGAGGTTTTCCTTAAAGGGTCACGAAACACCAAAACACATTTTTTGAGCTGTTGACAGTCATATATGTGTCCCACACTGCTAAAAACACTATTAGGACACCTATATTTCACTAAAAAGTGTAAATTGGTTGTTTTTGCGTTATTTCAAGCAAATTCGTACTTCCTGTTTGAAACGAATTTTTGAAGCTGCGTCACGGTCATGACATAATAGCGTTGTATTCCAGCGTGCAGACTGGACGTCTGTGCCAGAGTGTGTCTTATTACGTCTTACAGTGTGATGCATTAATGCATGAGTAAGGCTTGGTTCAAACCAATCAGCGCGCTCTATTGTGCAACTTCATTAATATTCATTAGTGTCACCGTCTTTACACCACAGAGACGCCACGTTGTGTTGGCAAAACAAGCGTGAAGTGTTGCTTTTACAGTTTGCTGCCATTAAGTTTCGTTTTCATTTTCTCTCTGTGAGAGCTCATCTGGATCACGTGTGGATTACAGTGTACGCGACGCTCGACAACAATAATTTACGTGTCTAAGGGGGATTATTGTTTACCTGAGAGCTGTTCTCATCTGCAAACGCTGAAATCCGGATTCCGGATGTAGTCTTCTCTTCATAAAGACGCGGCTCTAGTTGCTGGTGATTGTCCTGTCTCTACAGATTTGGTAAGTGAGCGATCAGTGCTCTTTGTATATTCAGTTTGTTCGTATCAAATAAGTTAACTATTGCATTGAGTGCAAACATGTTAGCACCGCATTTTGTGACCGGAATAACACACGCGGCTTTCGGACGCTACCTGCCGTGTGCATCTAAGTTTCCGGGAAATGCGGAGTTTTTTTTCTGTCATTCGCCGTGCGGTATCAAACATTGCATGAAAAATACACGCTTAGAGCAGATCTTCGAATCAAATATCTGATTTGTCGCGAGGTGCATGAATGAATTCCCTGAATGAAAGAGCCAAACTGCAGTTAAAGTCCAACATTTAATAATTTTGCAAATAATTCAACTACAGATGTCCATGTAGGTTAAACACCATCCCTTTCTCCTGTGTATTTTGACTGAAACTCGCGCGTGCCCAAATAGACACTCCCACACCCTCCCACTTTAGTTTCTCCGACACTCCCCCCTAAACAGAGCTGGGCACGCCCACTTTTCTGACTTTTTCCAAAGAAGAGGTGTGAAAACACCCTGCTGAAACGAGGGGGTTTCATGGCCCTTTAATGACTATTCTACTGTTGTGCCTCCAATGAACTCAAATGTTGTCAATTAGCCAATCATAAACTTCCAAAACCTTGACACCATCGTCTGAGCATTTTCAGAAGCAGAATAGTCTCACTGTATGTACACTTGACTTTCAAGAAAAGTTATAACAATTTCTCAAAAAATCTCTCTCTCATTATTCTGCTATTAAGCAGAACAGAAAAAAATGTGATAATCCTAATAGGGTTGTACGTTGTTGACCAATTTGGCATCGTATGATGTCTTATGTGAAACATCGCCATGGACGAAGGCATCGTAGGTGGGGGTGGTGGTTGTTGTTGTTGTTAAATATCGATTAATTCATAACGAATTAATTAATTGTAGCCTACCGTTTTCACAGCCTGACCGGCTGACCCACATGGTCTTTGCTTTACCTATAACCAAGCAATAACACAAATTACCACCTGTCAACAACTTTTTTCCGTGGGACTCTGGCATGAATAGGCACAGTGATCTGTGTCATTCTAATGGCTTTTTCCCAAAGCTGGGAAAGGAGGCGAGAGTTCATTTGGAGCTCACTGTAATTTGTATTGTGATTGATGATAACTTCCTTATTTTATTATTATTATTATAAGAAAATAGTAACAAGTAAAGATACTACGGCTTGACCGTTTTGGTCGCATATGTGCCCAACATTTTATCTATGCGACCTAAAAGTATATTATGGAAGCATTTGTGCGAGTGCATACATTTTCACTGTTTTCACAGTGATCCTCACCGCCCGCGCAGATGTATGGAAAATTTATGCAGAATGCATCGTCGCACCTAAAAATGCCAAACGCAATGCTCAGAAATAGATTAAAGGGCACATAGTTTACCCCTTTTTTTATGATTTAATATTAATATGATGGTTCTTCTGAGTGTGCCAGTTTAGGTTCAGTTCAACACACAGTTCAGATGTTTTTATTATAATGTGTTAAAAAGTGTTATATTGGGGGCGTTTACACAGTTTGCTGTTTTAGGGGCGTGTTGCTTCACAGTTTCAGCTTCCCGCCCAATGTAACAAAGGGGCGGAGCCAAGAGCTCCTACGCTCTGTGTTTACAACAGACAGGCTGACAGACAGAGAAGCTAAGCTAAGGTAGGATGAGCATTCAGCCGTACATGTGCGAGTCGGACACAGACCAAGCAGAGAGTACAAAATCATTTGTGTCTTTGTATAGTCTCGGTGTAAAAGTGTCGAGCTTGTACACCGCGTGCACCCCGACAGAAACCCAAGGAGCGCCGAGCCGCTAAGCCGAATCTCCACTGCGTGCACACAGACAGAAACCCACACAGCGCCGAGCCGCTGACCTTAAGCTCCGCCGCGTGCACCCCACCAGAACCCACGCAGCGCGAGCCGCTGACCCAAAGCTTCGCCGCGTGTGCCCCGACAGAAACTCACGCAGCGCCCAGCCGCTGACCCGAAGCTCCGCTGCGTGCACCCCGACAGAACCCACGCCCAGAACTCCGAAATGCACGGTGCCACGCAAAAGGTACAAGCAATAATTCCGATTAGAGCGATAATGTGGAGAATATTGATCTTGTGTTGAGCCCAATGAGCCTTTTATCAAAAAATAGAGCAAGGGTGTCCCTTTAGTGATACTGCTTTGACTCACACGCTGGAAATGGCGGACGTGCAACAAGAAACTGAGGATATGATTGTGATGCAAGGCTGTCAATCAATATTGGTGGGCGGGGGGACCGCACTCCTGCTTAAAGTTGCGGTTAGTCAGAAAACCGCTCCAAATTGTCCACCGTTTTTTTGTTGTTAAATTGGAAAAAAAAAGGACTGGGTGTGTTTATATCGCCCCAATATGACGGTCTGTACACTATACTTACCAGGGCCGGAGTGGGACTCTTTTTCAGCCCTGGAGTTTCAAGCCTCAGACCGGCCCACCTCAGTTCACCACTGACTATATTAAAATAAGGTTATTTCCAATTCAGTTTCTAATTACACTATCACGTCTTTTTTTGAGAAAACAGCACTTTTAGAACTTCAAATGTTCAACAACCTTTACAGTATTATGTCTTAACAATAAAAATGAAAAAAAAAAAAAAAATTGTTACTCAGACGAGGACCGAACCCAGGTTGGCCGCGTCATAATCTAACGTACTAACCACTGTACCACAACAGCTGCACGTTGAAAGGCGACTTATCTAGTTATATCATCATTAACTTGCATCCTGCTCACGAGGCTACGTGAAAATAGATAAAAAGAGCAGAGCTGCGGTAAGATAATGAATAAGAAGGCTGTGGTCAAGTAAATAAATAAATAATTTTTAAAAAGTGTGACTGCTGAGAGCAACCGATTCTGGAACTAGGGACACCGGCCCTCGCGGCCAAAAAACGGACCGGCCCACCGGGAATTCTCCCGGTCCTCCCGATTAGCCAATCCGGGCCTGATACTTACACACATGTCTGTCCAAACAGCTTAAAAAGTAGATTTTTCACCATAGGTGCCCTTTATGTGATTGTAAACTTGCTGAAGTTAAAAAAGCCCGCACTGCTTGCCCCGCTTTTGTGCTTTTTTTATTGGCCCACTGCTCTAGAACTGAACACGAATGATTGGTTAATATCAGCTGTCAATCACTTAGTCGAAGGCCTTCTGACTTCAGATCAGATAACAGGAGCTACAAGCGCGAAAATGTGAAGCACTGTAGATGAAAGAATAAAAATAACACTGACAGATTTTGTTTTAGAAAACACCTACAGTTACTAATAATGGCACATCTTATTAGTGATCATCTGCTCAATCCACCTTTTACACTTTTCCAAGAGTGGATAAAAGAGTTTCAGTGGCTTCAAGTCCGCTATGAAAACCATTGAAATGAAAGCCATTCACTGTAAAGTCTGTGGGACGGGGTTTGCAGGTAACAGCATTTGCCACTGAATCTACACATTTTAAGTGTGAGAGGTACTGCATAATCCCTTATTTAATTCTCACGATGCTGTCAGCCGTGCAATGGGCAGCTATTTGTAAAAGTTAACACAGCTCATGGAAAGATTGTTTTTGCTATTAAAATGACAAGCAAATAATAAGTTATATATCAATATAAATATGGGGCAGGTCGATGGATCGCGATGCTGCCTCAGCATCGTGAAGTTTTTCGGCCATCGGCAATAGACTATAGCATCGTCTATCGCCTCAACCCTAAATTCTAACTTACCTAAAAGAGAAAATGTTTAGTCACAATAACATCTGACTTTTTTTTTAATGGTTATGTGTCTTTTTTTTGTGTAAACTTCTGGGTTCAACTGTTCGTGCTGCTGTTGTAATGCGCATAGTGAACTCATCATTTGTAATATGTGGAACCTCAGTTTTGTCACCTAAAAGGCATATCCTTGGTGAGAGAAGGATATTAAATCCCAGACATAATACCTAATTGTCTAAACACAGATTCCCTAAAGGCTTGAATCTTTGTGCATTGCCATAATGCATTAAAGTATGTACCAATCTCTTGTTTACATTTCCAGCATTTATCACCATCTAAACATCCCATTCTAAAAGTCGCACTGGAGTGTAATAATACCTATAAAGTATCTGATACGGCAGCGCAGTAGGTAATGCTGTCGCCTCTTAGCAAGAAGGTCGCTGGTTCGATCCTCGGCTCAGTTGGCTTTTCTGTGTGGAGTTTGCATGTTCTCCCTGCGTTCGCGTGGGTTTCCTCCGGGTGCTCCGGTTTACCCCACAGTCCAAAGACATGCGGTACAGGTGAATTGGATGTACTATATTTTCCGTAGTGTATAAGTGTGTGTTTGAATTTGTGTGTAGATGTTTCCCAGAGATGGGTTGCGGCTGGAAGGGCATCCTCTGCGTAAAAATGTGCTGGATAAGTTGGGCTGTTCATTCCGCTGTGGCGACCCTGGATTAATAAAGGGACTAAGCAGAAAAGAAAATGAATGAAGTATCTTCTTTTATAAATTTTCTTTTATAAATTTTCTACTTTGATAAAGAATTCTATCCCAGGTATCTTTATCTATATCACTACTAATATCTTTTTGTCTTAAATTGTCAAGTTTTTTTTATAATTAATCTTTGAACTAATTTTGTAAAATGTAGATACTTTTTGAAGCAGATTTGGGAGCTTGTAAAATTTTTTCAACATATTCCTATTCCTACCCACCCAGGGGACCTTTGTTTCAAAACAGTGTCTGATTTGTAAGTATTCAAAAAAAAAATGATCTTGTTCTTCTAATTTAAACTTTTTTTCCAAATCATTATAAGATATCAGTTTACCATAGTTAAATAGCTCATGTGTAGTACGTATACCACTTCTAAGCCAACAACCCCAAAATAAGGGCTTTTTTCCAATTTTGACAAAGTTATTATTCCATATTGAGGAATAGAGAAATGGGAAATTTATATCGAAATACCGGAAATAGGTTTAAAAGTCATGTCACCGTTATTGAAAAAAAATCTATCGCGATATATATTGATATCGAAATATTATCCAGCCCTAACTTCACTAATTTGCAACTTCAACTGATGTGATGACTTCCATTTGTTTATCTTTTGGCTCTGACATTTTAAGATGTAGACCACATTACGAGTAGAGCAGGTAATACAGGTTTTTAAAAATTAATATTTTTACCTGTTGCTGGATTCAAAAATTCTTTACACTTTACCAAATGCTGGCTGAAAAGTTTTCTTTGCAAATTCTTAGTTGAGATATCATATTAGCAGCCACATGACTATCTATGACTAACTATGTTGTATAACTATGTACGTCTATTAGGAATTCCTTATAGGCTTGCTAACTTAATCTCACTCAGCAACTCATCTAACTGACAACAAATTCACCTATAACTCGCGATTTGAGCTTTCAAATCTTTGCCAATTTCAAATCTTTAGTGATATCAGTATAGCCAAGATATTTTTTGGTTGGGCGACCCGGGTGCTTCGGTTTCCCCCACAAGTCCAAAGACGTGGTATAGGTGAATTGAGTAAGCTAAAATTGTCTGTAGTGTATGAGTGTGAATGAGTGTGTATTGATGTTTCCCAGTGATGGGTTGCAGCTGGAAGGGCATCCGCTGCATAAAACATATGCTGGATAAGTTGGCAGTTCATTCCGCTGTGGCGACCCCGGATTAATAAAGGTACTAAGCCGAAAAGAAAATGAATGAATATTTTGGTTGACCGTGTCACTCAGAATGTAATTTTAGGGCATTATTTTAAACTAATACTTAGTGTTCTCTGACGTTTCGACCTCTCTGAAAACAATTCTATGAACATTTACAGTCATTTGATAGCTAAGAACATGTCATGTCATGAACAAATCAAGATTCAGTTTTGGTTTTGGCCATGCTTCTGAACAGATATTCATATCACACATTATTCAGTTTATAAAATGGCTGTTGTGTTTCTCACAGTCCGAAAGTAAAACGGGGCAGGGGTCGACCTCCTAAAATAAGACATGGACTTAGTCGTTCAGAGTTCAAGAAAGGACTGCATGCGGATCGCACTATGAAGAAAAAGGTACTTGTAACATCTCATGATTTTTTTTTTTTAGCATTTGCATAATTATGTACAGTTATAGTTGTGAGAAGCTTGACATAATAATTCATATTTAAACATTTATGAAAATTTTACTTTTTTTTTTCTAAAATAGCAAGTGAAGAACTGTTGTACTATCTTCATATTCAGTTGAGGGCAAATTTATTATCCCTCCTGTGAAAGGTTTATTCTTTTTCAAATATTTCTTAAGTGAAATTTAATGGAGCAAGGACATTTTTTACAGTATTTCCTATATCATTTTTTCTTCTGCAGAAAGTCTTATTTGTTTTATTTTGGCTTGAATAAAAGCTATTTTAATTAAAAAAAAAAAAAAAAAAAAAAAATATATATATATATATATATATATATATATATAATTTTTTTTTTTTTTGCCTAATTCAGGGGCGAACTTAGTTATTTAGTAGCCTTAAGAAATTCCAGGTATGGGACTCTAGCATTGAAACTCAAAACATGCTCTTTCTTTATAGATACGTTATTTCTCTCAAGATTTTTTTATATATTATTTTTTTTGGTAAATAAACTGCATGTTAAAATATATTTTAAGTGTAACCTGCTTAATTTAAAATTAAATCCAATAAATTCACAAATAAAAAACAAGCTCACAAACCATGGACAGTTAATTAGCCATACTTGCGATTTGTGATCAGATTTTAATATTTGCATGTGCAGTAAGGGAAGAATTGTTCCACTATTGGAGGTCCCCGGTTTAGAAAAGTAATAATGTTAAAATATTAATGGTTATTGACAGATTTTACAACATGTAATAGAAAAATTATAAAAGAGCTATAGGATGATTAATATAGGCTTCTTGGAATTGGTCTGGGCCTCCTATTTCTGCGGGGCCCTAAACGGCTGCTAATTACCCTAACTTACTAAGTTAAGCTATAAATGTCACTTTAAGCTGAATACTAGTATCTTAAAAAAAATATTATGAAACTCAAATATTATGTACTCCCATCATGGCAAAGATAATCAGTTATTAGAAATAAGTTATTAAAACTATTATGTTCAGAAATGTGTTGAAAAAATCTCTGTTAAACAGAAATTTGGAATAAAATATTAAATTTTTCTCAGAAAACATATTTCTGTCATATGCTGTTGACTTGAAATTTTCAGAAAAATCCATTCATATATGCAAAGAAAACAAATCTAATTAGTTTAAAAATGAAGTTATGTGTAATAAAATGAAATGACACAGGGAAAAAGTATTGAACACATGAAGAAATGGAGGTGTAGAAAGGCAGTGAATGCCCAGACAGCAGCTGAAATCTCTCAATAGTTCTTCAGCAAGCCTCTGCCCTCCGTCATTGTAAATGAATATCAGCTGCTTTAGTTAAACATTTACTTTATCAGGATGATGAAGATGAAACCAGGGTGGACATTTCAGCAAGACAATGATCCAAAACACAGCCAAGGAAACTCTCAAATGCTTTCAGAGAAAGAAAATCAAGCTGTAGAATGGCCCAGCCAATCACCTGATTCTGAATCCAATAGAAAATACTAGTATCTTGAAAAATATCTAGTAAAATATTCTGTACTGTCATCATGGCAAAAATAAAAGAAATCAGTTATTTGAAATTAAAGTTAGTTAAAATCTTCTCCGTTAAACAGAAATTGTGGGTAAAATATAAGAGAATTAGTGTTTCGCAGGAGGGCTAATAATTCTTCAACTTAAAATCTTAAAATACATTGGTGTTTAGTCTGAATGAATGCTTAACTTTTTTTGTTGTGTGTTGTTCTGGCATATATAGAGGGTTGGATCCCTAATGAGTCGCAAACGTTTATCCCGAAAAGCCACTTCCGTCCCAGATCCATCGCTCAAGGCTGAAGTTTTACCAAGAACCCGCCAAAGAGTTGTTCGCAGCTCAACATCCACACCTCAAAGTACCAAACAGGTCCCAGACTCTCCAGCGGGAGGCACCAGCGCAGAATTTAACAGCCCTCCGCGCCTCACAAGGGTCTCGCCGCCCAGTATCGACACGTCCAGGCGCAGCTTCGTTCACTCTCCTTCTGTTAAAGTGGGTAACGTCACCCAGCAGATAATCAGCACTGAACCTGGGAAAGATGTCTCTGAGCTGCCGCTTCAACTTTGGCTTTGTCCTTCTCTGGAGCCCATTAGCCCTACACAAACTCAGGAAATACTCTCGCAGCAAACCGTAGGGTCACCAAATTTTCCAGAGGCTTCGCTGAATGGGACAATGACGGTGAAGGAGAGTCTGACAATGACGGTGAAGGAGAGTCTTCCTTTGCTCAGGTGAACAAAGTAAAAAAAAAAAAAAAAAAAAAAAAAAAAAAAAAAAAAAAATATATATATATATATATATATATATATATATATATACACACATACATATATGTATATATATATGTATGTGTATATATATACACACACACACACACACACACACACACACACATATATATATATATATATATATATATATATATATATATATATATATATATATATATATATATATATATATATATATATATATGCATATACATACATATATATAATATATCATAAACTAATCATGAACAAGTAATTTGAGTGAATTGTCTTATTAGTACTTGTCATGGACAAAAGTGAAGAATGGGGGGGAGGGGGGTCTGTATTGCACACCAATAGACCTGAATAATATTATCCAAGACCTTTATGACTATAATAAAGCAGCATATGAATTCTCCTTCCTCAGTGAATGTGAAGGATGCGGATGTCCATTTTCAGCTCAGAAGCATGGAGACACTTTGTGCTACAGATGCAGAATTAAAAGTATGTGCATTTGTATTTATAGACGTTATTTCTGTATAAACAAACAGGCATATGTTAAGATTTGTGTCATTTCTTCATTTCATGCAGGAGAGAAGAAGCGGTCTCCTCCAAACATTTTGTGTAGGAAGGTACGTACATCTGAGAGGCATTGTTTTGCCACGTCTAGTATGAATATTTTTTTCAATGCTAAGCCTTGCTGAAAAACAAATATTATCATGTCATGTCCATAAATGAAAAACAAGACATCAAATGAAATTTACTAAATTGAATTATATACATAGAAAGCAAATTAAATACAAGTAAGATGTCTAGTTTTGTCAGAATATGAGTGAAATAACGCACATTCAGCAACTTGATATAAAGCGATTTTATGCAAAAATGAAAAAAAAATCATCATAATCGTACATTTATTTAGTATTATATACTGCTTAAAAAAACAATAAATGAACTCACATGTTATATTAAATTATTTAAAACCTGTTAGGGCTTTATCTTAATGATCTAAGAGCAAAGTCTAAAGTGCAAAAGCAATAAGGGTGCACCAGCGCATGGTCTAACAGGGTTGTGCTTATTCACTTAATGAGTGGGTGTGTTTTGGGTATAGCATGCATTAAAACAATCAGAGTCTCATCTCCCATTCCCTTTAAAGCTGCGGTCACACTAGAGATTGAGCTTGCGAAATTCTGTCGTATGGCGCTGCGTAAAGGGGCAGGATTAAAACAGATGATTAGACATTAAAAAAGTGAGAGATTGGTCCCTGTTTTAAATTTCTGTCCAGTGGTCATGTTTTTATCCTTGATTGGTCTCACGCAATCATATGATGGGATTTCGCAGGTCAGAGTTCACCATGCTTAAACTTTCCAACGCAGTAATCTGCGAAACTTGACGCATGATTTGCGTTTCCGGTCTGTCGCATTCGTATGCGTATAAATAGAAGTCTAAGGGGAGAAAAGTCCAGTGTGACCTCAGCTTAAGAGTCAGTTGCGTGCACCATGGCGCATTTACTATTTACATGGCGGATTTTGTAAGTGGAAAAACTGAACACTTTACTAGCAAGAAAGCGGTTAAACAGACCATCAGCAGCACGAGGATAAAGAATGAGCCTCCTCCATTCAGCCTCTTTACTTTCTCTTTACTTTTACTCTTTACTTTACTCCTTTACTTTTGATAAGGAAACGGTGTTGTACACATCCATTAGCCTAAAAGGTTTATTTATATTGTTAAGATTTGTGTCAAAACTATTTCTAAATTCAGTTATAATTTCCAATAAACAAATAAATGAACAATAAAACTGAAGTGTGCTCAAAAAACTTTCACATGCAAAACACTTCCTATTCTTATTCTATGACGGCAAATCAATGCCAATATTAATCGAGCGCAGAGGTGATGTTTGCGCGCGAGGAGAAGTAAACCGTTTTTTTTTTGTGAGTCCTGGGGCTGGACTTGGTGTACTTGTTATCTCTAACGCTATTGGCTACTCTGCCTTTCCGGAAGTTACGTGAAGATCCCCTGTGCGCTCGCGAGCTGTAGTTTTCTCGCGTGTAGACCTGTAATCTGTTCACGGTTCACTTCTCCTCGCGCGCAAACATCACCTCTGCGCTCGATTAATATTGGCATTGATTTGCCGCCATATTATTCCCCATATAGTGATGCATACAGTATGTCTCCAAAACCCGTCAGGTGGACAAACCTAAACTTGTTTATATTAAACAGCATTGTCAAAATACTCGATATGTAGCAGTCATGAATAAACTGACTACAACAGAGCTGGAATTCAATGTGGATATCAATGGTGTGAAGAAGGCATGGAGGCTGTAGTTTTTATATTTATGTAAAAAAATAATAATTTTTGTTTAAACATTTTAATCGTTTAATTAATTATTTTCATATGTAAAGATATTTGTGTATTGCTGTACATGCTGTGTGTATAGGGTACATGCAGAAGAATACTAATAGGACATTTAATTTGCCAGTAACCTGGGTTAATCGTTTCCGGTGAATTGCATTCCAGATAGTACAAGAAGCACTGCGTTAAATTTCCTTTTTTCCTGCCATGTCTTCATAATATGAGCATTTATTTTACCCCAGTGTATTCAATGGAGCTTCTGCGCTAGCCTGCTGATTCTGATGGGCACGTGCAAGTTAAAGGCTTTTTGTCTCGTTTTGCGCTTGAGCAACTAAATGAATGCCCAAGTTTATTTAACTGATTGTATTTTAATTACATTACAACATCGATGCTGTAAAAGGAACTGATTTAAAATGGAAAAAAACTCACAATAACAAGTCACCGGAAGTTTATTAGTTTGGGAAACACACTTGCTTGGCATATACCCCATTAAGCAATGTGTAAGCGTTTTGGAACCGCATAGGTGTAAAGCAAACACTGGACTTTAGACCAGTTCTTCTGTAGTTGGCCAATGGTGTGGTCTATTTCAGTTGTCTCAAAATAGCAACAATGCGCCTTAACACACCAGCTCACTCATGAATCCACAAAGTGGCGCAAATTTGTTTGCTATTAAAACGTGATGCAAAATGTAAAAATGACAGTTGCGCTGGCCCGAAATAGCAACAAATCGCGTCAAACATGCTTTGCACCTTATTGCACCAGGTTTATAATAGGGCCCCTAATTTGAAACATCAGTCAATTAAGCTTTGATTATAAGGGCCTACTCACACTATGCCATCCGTACCGTGCCCAGGCCCGTTTCCCGGATCGTTTGAGAAGTGTGAGTGCGCTGAATCGGGCTCAAGCACGGTTCACTTGGCCGGCCCTGGCCCGGTTGGAAGAGTTGTGCCTGAGCGCGGTACACTTGGGCTTTGGCGCGGTACGCTTGTGTGTGAGCGCGAAACGCGCCAAAGCCCGAAACCGAAAGCGAGACGTGACTTTTAAGGGACTTTTTGATATGGATTTATTAATCATTCTTACTGTTCAGTGATCGCAAACTGCCGTAGTTTATTAAAGACGAGAACTCCTCACAGCACGCCAGCTGCGCGCCTTCAGCAGATCTCCTCATTCCTGCAGCACGAGAGCATTATGATTGTTTATGAGCGCCAAAAGTGGCGGATCTGTTCGGTAAAATATCTGACTGTGTGTCCCCGCATCCCTAAGGACTGTTTGGCGAAATATTTGACTGCATGTCACTGCATAACAAACGACTGAAACGATATAACTAGAGAAATCTTCACTGTGCTGCTAAATGAGAGCGTATGGCAAGCCGTTTTAGCATTTAAACCTTGTTCTGACTATCCATAAATATATTTAGAGATATAATTATATATTTTGACAAGTCATTATTATAATTCGACTTGTCAGAATGACAATTAGAGATATCTGCAATTACAATTGTACTAGTACGAAATCAGATTGGAGATATCTGCAAATATATTATGACTAGTCATATTCCTCCATTGACTTCCATTGAAAAATATTAGAATAATACTCTAACTGAGTTTTGACTCGTCAAAAATCCAATTCAAGATATCTACAACTGTAATTCGACTATTAGTAAATTAATTAGAGATATCTTCAAATATATTTGTAAATATCTCTAAATATTACAAATTAAAGACATCTCCAAATGTATGACTAGTAAAAACTCAGTTAGAGATATCTCTAATTACAATTGTGCCGAGTCAAAACTCATTTAGATATCTGCAAATATTTTTCAATGGAAGTCAATAGAGGAATATGACTAGTCATAATATATTTGCAGATATCTCCAATCTGATTTCGTACTAGTACATTTGCAATTGTAGATATCTCTAATTGTTATTCTGACTAGTCGAATTATAATTATGACTAGTCAAAATATAATTAGAGATATCTCTAAATATATTTATGGAGTCAGAACAAAGATTTAAATGCTAAAAAGGCTTGCCATAGAGAGCGCTTCTGAACAGCGCAGCAGCGATGACGTAAGCGTGCCGTGGCCCGGTATGGTGTGAGCGCGGGCCGTCGGGGGAGACGGGAGGGGGGACGAGCGTGCTTTGGCCCGGTTCGAGGCAACTGTACCTAGTGTGAGTACGGCCTAAAACACTTTAAAACTCCAAAGTGATGCACAGAAGACTAAAACTTAGACATGAGTAAAATACAATTCTAAAAATGCTTATTTGAAACCTTAAAACAAAAAATAAATGTGAAAAATGTCAACTTGGGGTTTAGATCCAAGATGGCGCCAGTGTGCATGACTTACCATCTGTCCCAAATTTGAATTCTAAACTGGTGTATGATCACCAAACACTATTTAAACATTACGTGGAGGACGGTGGCATAATATTAAGTTTTAAAATAGCAATTACCATACTTCAAGAATATTTAAATGATCAGCTGTTTCATTTATAATGAGAAATTGTCCTTGCTATTTTCATATTTAAAACTAATGTCAGATCAAGTTTTAAAAGCTCAACATTGTTTTTGATGTCTTGTATTCATTCATTCATTCATTTTCTTTTCGGCTCAGTCTCTATTAATTAGGGGTTGCCACAGCAAAATGAATTGCCAATTTATCCAGCATATGTTTTACACAGTAGATGTCCTTCTAGCTGCAACCCATCACTGGGAAACACCCATACACTTTCATTCATACACATACACTACAGCCAATTTAGCTTACCCAATTGACCTATAGCGCATGTCTTTGGACTGTGGGGGAAACCGGAGCACCTGAAGGAAACTCACGCAAACACAGGGAGAACATGCAAACTCCACACAGAAATGCCAACTGACCTAGCCGAGGCTCGAACCAGCGACCTTCTTGCTGTGAGGCAACATCGCTACCCACCGCACTGCCCATTATTTAGTGATTTATTTTCTTTAATTGTTATTGCCAGAGAGTCCATTTATAGCCTGAAACACTATAGTTTTGCTTGTGTGTCTGTGTTTGTTTAGGTGTAGAGCTGTGGCGATGCTTTTGTCTCATAAAACTCTTAACTAACCTAGTTTGTCTTTTATTTCGCTCCTATTCTAGAAGCTAGAACAGTTTCTATCCCTTTAAGTAGCAAAACAAAGTCTAGTTTATTCCTATTTTCTAATTTTCTTGAATATTTCTTTTTGTTTTTGTTTTTTCTGGTTCTGTTAAATGTCTCAGTTTGTCATACTCCTTCATTTTTGTTATGTTTATTTTATGCTTTATTATTATTATTTTGAAGGTGAGGCAGGATCAGTGGGAGGTTGAGAAAGAAAAACATCCAAGAAAGCAAATGCTGGTAATAATTATCATATAATATCATTCATGCCGTCGGCGGGCTGAAATGTGAATCTACGCAAAAGCATTGCCAGAGATGATCAAGTAATCCCTCAGTAGCCAAAATGCTTCTCACCTAAACAGAATGTCACTTTATTTTTCAGCAGAGACCACAAAGATATGGGAAAACCGAAAATGTGAGTGTTTGTGCTCATTCAAACTTATTTTTTCTTGGTGTTGAAGTTCAAGTGTGTAGTTTGTGTACTAGTTAAAGATTTAGTGATATAACGAAGGCCTCTGAAAAAACAACTTGTTTAGTGCAAAAATGAACATCCTGTGCCTGAAATACTGATTTTGGCTTTGTGTGTGTGTGTGTTTTAGGATATTGTGCCTGATGGTGGTGATGATGATGATGAAGAGTACTGGGTGAGTGAGTGCAGTGTTAAATTCAACGTCACTGTTGAAATCTCACACACAGCACAAAATATTAGCCTTTTATACTTTGACTGTACTAAATCATGATTGTGGCGTTGATGTTTCAACCCCATACAGATTAAAAATTCACTTCTAGTACACAAATATCTAAGGCCCCTGAATTAATAACATGATCAAAACCTCTGTGCACAATCTACTCCGTGAATATGTCAGTGGATCGATGCTTCATATTTCCTAAAAGACATGTTATATTTGTAGACTTCGTTGTTTTGAAGTAATTTTTACATATTTTTTAAAACAAATTAAATGCAAGAACAACCTTACAAATTTGATTCACTTAATAATCCATAGTACAGTTTTTTATATTGAGTCAAAAAGTGAATATCACATTATTTCAATAATCTCTCAGTTGTCAATGCATTGCATAACAGATATTTTAACCAAAAATAAAAACCTCAGAGGTTTAATCATAAAACTAAGCATTTAAATATAATCCAACTTAAGATATTTTACTAAAGACAAGGCTTAACTATAAGGACTGCACGATGGCCCACGGCCAGCGTGAAACCCGCTCGGGACAGTGGCCAAAACTGAAGTTTAATTTGGCTGCGATTGTTCGTCAATTGCATGCAAAGGGTGCTTTCACACCTGGACCTTTGTTTCGGAAACCCATCTCATTTGCTCAGTTTGCGTGGTTTGTTTGGCATATGTGAATCTTGCAATTATGCTTGGTTCTGCGCCAAATCAATTGGTCCGAGATCGCCTGAATGAGGTGGTCTCGGCCCGACTGAAACAAACTCTGGAGCGAATCGATTATAGTAAGAAAGCAAAACGATACAACAAACTGATGAACCAGGCTATATCACAGTGTATTCTGGATTTGTAAAGGCTATATATGTGGCTATATGAAGAGAGAATGATGAGTAGGGCGGGATGTTCTTCCTACCGGTAAATGTGCGTTTTATTGACGAATATGAAAGTGAAAGCATGCTGAAATATTACCAAGAGCTGTTTGTTATTTAGGAAAATTGACTGAAATTACCATCTGATAATTTTTTTAGGTTTAAATCTTCTAATATTTTGTATTCATGATCAGACTGCAGTCTCGGTTCATCTGTTATTTCTTTCCATAATTTAGGCCTATAATGCAGAATTCTAGCCAACTTTTTTTTTTAATAGATTGATTGATTCAGTAGAAAGATTTTTACGAAACTTGACAACTGAAATGAGGCTATATGTAAAAGTCCGACCTCTCTGATTTATATTTGGTGCCGATGTCTGTGGGTGTCAAAATTAAAGTGCACTTTTTTGGTTATATATATATATACCATTTTATTTATTTATTATTATTTTTATTTATTTATTTTTCATCACAATTGTAACTTTTTAAATAATCAGTTGTATTTAAAAAAAAGTTGCACTGAATAAAAAGTGTACATATACAATTATGTTTGGCTTTTGACACATTATTTAAAATATGTGGCTCAGAAAAGGCTATTAACGTTTTTGTTGGGGCTAATGAAAATTTTGGCTGTGCAAGTAAAAAGCTGATCCACCGATTGGGCAAGTAGAAAAAATTCTTAGCGCTGAACTCTGAAAGACAAAGTAATATTTATATGCATTTTACGACAATAGTCTGTTATTCTGTTATAAAGAATAATTGGCCATATAAATATAAGCAACTTTACCAAAATTGTAAATTTGCGCTCGGGTTGGTTCTCAATCTTCTAATATTTCTCTCCATATTCTTCTTTATTATGCGATATGTCCTATTAACTATTTAGGCCTGGTGTATCAAATAATGAAAAATTTTTTTTTTTTGGTCTTAATGTTCAATAAGCATCCAAAAATCTATATTCTGACTATGAATGAATATTTTCCTGGTTATTTTCTGAAAAACAATCATTTCTCTTTCTGCTTTTGTTTTTAGCGTTTAAAGAAGCGTAATCGGAGGATGTGTCAGCGGTGTGATGCCTGCCGTCGTGATACAGACTGTGGGAAGTGCGACTTCTGCATGGACAAGCCCAAGTTTGGTGGCAGTAACAAGAAAAGGCAGAAATGTCGCTTGCGTCAGTGCAAGTTTCAGTCAAAGCTTCAATTTCGAAATGGAATGAAGGTACGTATTTATATGCTCAGCATCTAATGGCATCTCTTACAGCAGGGGTGGGAAACCTTGTTTCTATCAAGGGCCATATACATTTTTGTAACTTTTTTTATGGGAAACACTACATTATTCAACATAGTGTATATATTACTAACCTATCTAATGCGATTGTTGGAACTGCTTCTCTGTGGCAAGGCCACTTAACTTTTTTAAATTGTAATTTCAATTTGTTCATTGCCAAAACAACATGCTCAAACAAATCCACAGCAGTAATGTGGTTGATGTAGCAACCCATTGTGGTAAATAAGGAGCTGAGCTGAAAGGCAAAATTATTTAGTCTCGATTTAGCGGTCAATCTACATTCCTACTCTCACCTGGTCATGATCTACATTTACATTTAGTCATTTAGCAGAGGCTTTTATCCAAATCGACCTACAAAATGAGGACAAGGAAGCAATTTACACAACTATAAGAGCAACAATGAATAAGTGCTGTAAGCAAGTTTCGGGTATGTAAAGTGTAAGAAGCAAAACATTTGTAATTTTTTATTTTATTTTTATTTTTTTGGTAGTAGTTAGTGGTGGAGCCAGAGAGAAAATTGCAGATTAGGAAGTGAAGTAAAGACTAAATAGTTGAGTTTTTAGTCGTTTCTTGAAAACAGCGAGTGACTCTGCCATTCTGATGCAGTTAGGGAGTTCATTCCACCAACTGGGCAGATTGAACGCGAGATTTCGCAAAAGTGATTTCTTCCTTCTTTGGGATGGAACCACGAGGCGACGTTCATTCACAGGACGCAAGTTTCTGGAGGGCACATAAATCTGCAGAAGTGAGAGCAGATAAGAAGGAGCAAAGCCAGAAGTCGCTTTGTAAGCAAACATCAGAGCTTTGAATTTGATGCGAGCAGCAACTGGCAGCCAGTGCAAACGGATGAGTAGCGGAGTGACATGTGCTCTTTTAGGTTCATTAAAGACCACTCATGCTGCTGCGTTCTGAAGCATCTGAAGAGGTTTAATTGAGTTAGCTGGAAGCCCAGCTAGTAGAGAGTTGCAATAGTCCAGTCTGGAGAGAACAAGAGCTTGAACAAGGAGTTGAGCTGCAGGTTCAGAAAGGAAGGGTCGGACCTTTCTGATGTTATAGAGTGCGAATCTGCAAGATCGAGCAGTTCTAGAGATGTGGTCAGAGAAGTTTAGTTGGTCATCAATCGTTACTCCAAGGCTTTTCACCATTTTGGATGCAGTAATGGTTGCCCCATCCATCTGGATTGAAAAGTTATGATGTAGAGTCGGGTTGGCAGAAACTTCAGGCATTTCCATTTTCGCGAGGTTAAGCTGAAGATGATGATCTTTCATCCAGTGTGAAATGTCTGACAGGCAGGCTGAGATGCGAGCCAGAACCGAGGTATCATCAGGGTGAAAAGAGAGGTATAGCTGGGTATCATCAGCATAGCAGTGGTAGGAAAATCCATGTTTCTGGATGACTGATCCTAAAAATGTCGTGTAGATGGAGAAGAGAAGAATCTTTAGGTAATGAGTGAAAGGACAAGATCTCGCAAAAGATCATTCGCAGGGCGCACTGTTATAGATAGGGTGAGAAGCTCTTTCACTTGGCTGGAGCTTGGAGTTGAGTCGCTACTCCTCCACATCGAGAGAAGACAGATGAGGTGGCTTGGGCTTCTGTTTTGGATGTCTCCAGGACGTCTTCCCAGGGAGGTGTTCCAGTTATGTCCCACCAGAAGGAGGCCTCGGTGAAGACCCTGGACACTCTGAAGGGACTATGTCTCTCGGCTAGCCTGGGAACACCACGGGATTCCCCGGAGGAGCTGGAGGAAGTGTTTGGGGAGAAGAAAGTCTGGGGTTCTGAGGCTGCTGCCTCCGCGACCTGGCCTCAGAAAAGTGGATGAAAATGAATGAATGTGATGTGTATATATATATATGTATATAAACACCTACATCTTGCATGGTCTGAGAATTATTAACAGCAGTTTTATTTTATTTTTCCAGAATTATGGGATGATTATTGCTTTTTTTGTCCATATGCCAAATACAATGTTCGCAAGTGTTTATTTACAAGTAGTATTTTTGTTTCGTTGTATCACACAGGGAGTGCCGACTTCATCTCTTTCACCAATAAAGAAAATGATCAAATCCAATAAACTCCTCAAAATAAAGAAACGTGGGAGACCACGCAAAAAAAAATTCAAAAATGACCCATGGGAGGAGGAGGAGGAGGATTATGAAGTGTCTGATAATGATGAAGATGATCAAGAGTTGAGGAGTTCTGAGATGAACGGCTCCCAGGTCAGAAAACACGGGAAATGGAGTTACACTTTTAAGGAAGATGAAGACGACGCGGCCTATGTTGAGGATGTGGTTGATGCCAACATTGAAGAGGTTTCTGATTTCTACATGTTTCAGGCAGAGAATGAGATATTGCACAGCCAGTCAAAAAAATCCAGATAAATTCTAGTCCAATGCTGCACTCATATCACGACAGAACTATTAACTCTCTTGAACTGTTTGCATTTTTATTATTTGCAAGATGGACAAAAATGTTAAAGGGATTGTTCACCAAACAAACTCAAAATGTACCTTGGCTCACCATTTCAAGTGTTTTCAAACCCTCTTAAGTTTCAGTTTTCTGTTTAACACAAAATAAAATACTTTGATAGATATTGTGAAAATGTTGTTCTTAACATTTTCACAATATGTATCAAAGTATTTTATTTATTTATTTATTTATTTATTTTAGCCAATGACTTCCATAGTAGCAGATAAAATACTATGCAAGTCAATGGCTACTTCAATTTTTTTCTTTAACAGAAAAAAATTTGGAGCAAGTAAATGATGGAGTAAATTATCTATTTAATAGAAACAAAGTCTTTATTTTCCACATTCATTGAAAGCAAAATACCTGGGTAAAATACTGTAATTTGGTTATTAATAATAATGTAAAATAATAATTAATAATATAAAAAATAATTTAATCAGTATTTAAGGTAATTTCAATATAACAAGATAGCAGCAAAGTCTCCATCTACAGTGTAAATCAGTAAATATATATATATTGTATTCAATTTTAGGTTAAGTTCCTGAGTATTGTTTTTCCTTGTTTTCACAGGATTCTGTTATTTTGGATAATGAACGGTCAGTGATGGCGTCTAACGAGATGTACAACACCACCTCTGGACTCAGTTCTCAGGTCAGACTTTCTATATTATTCTCATTCGTTTGTTTTCATTCTCATTCATTTGTTTTTTAAAATATTTAAACAGCATATTCTGACCTGATTAAAGATGATTTAAATGTGAAGCTGTTCTGATTTTAAACCAATGTGAAGCTGCCGTAAAGACCAAGACTGATCACAGTGGTGTGAAAAAGTGTTTGCTCCCTTACAAATTGCTGTTTTTTCTATGTTTGACACACTTTTTAGTGTTTCAGATCATCAAATGTAAATATTAATCAAAGATAACACAAGTAAACACATCATGCAGTTTTTAAATAAAGGTTTTTGTTATTAAGGGAAAACAAAATATAAAACTACATAGCTCTGTGTGGAAAAGTGTATTTCCCTCCCTTAAAATCTGACCTGAATTCAATTCTTCTAGCCCAACCCAGTCATGAATATTGCCTTACCTGTTCGCTATTAAGAAAACACTTAACTAGAACCTGCCTGACATAGTCAGGTAGACCAAAAGATCCTCAACAGCTAGACATCTTGTCCCAGATCCAAAGAAATTGATAAACTAGATATGGGAAACTGTCACATTTTCCCCTTTAGCTCGGTTTGTTTAGGCATATGTGAAACCCACAATCGCGCTCTGCTCCACTCCTAAACAATCGCCTGAATGAGGTGGTCTCGGCTCGATTGAAACAAACTCTGAAGCAGTTAGTTTGTTGAAAGAAAGCAATATGATCCAACAAACTAACAAACCAGCCTATATGACAGTGTATTATGGATACTGTATGTAATAGGCACATATTTGGTTATATGCTGAGAGAATTATGAGTAGAAATATCATACCTACTGGTAAAAGTGTGTTTTATGTTAAATATGAAACTGAAAGCATACTTTCTAACAGAACTATTAAAAAATATATTATATAATTTTTTTGTCCAACTCGACTTCTGATATATAATCTTTAAATATTTACAATTTCTGAAACCTCGTCGGCAGCCAAAGACGGTTGACGTTGTCTATCCACAAGATGCCGCCAGAACCGCATAATAAGCCCTTGCTCGGTGTGTTCTCTGAGCGCGATTAAAAAAACTGAAAAACGGAAGCCTCGTGGTTTTTAAGGTGGACCGGATAGTCAATAAGAAGCTGCGAATAAGAAGCTGGATTCAGCCTTGTCCCTCCTTATCGCAAACACAACAGTGGTCTAGTGAGAAATATCTGTAGACGGATGGCATTTCATGTCACGTTTAGCCTTATAATCTTAAAATGTGAGCTAAATTTGCTGTTTTGTCATTACCTTAAGGGGGTCACACACCAGAAGCGTCGCTTCACATGACGCTATAGAGAGTCATTCAAATACTAGCTCTAAAGTGGCGTTGGTGAATTAGTAACACCTTCTACTGTTCTGACGTCAGCTGCAAGATGTGAATGAATGGCAGAAGAAAACAGTTCCTAATACAAAAGGGTTTTAGACTCTTTGTGTTTGATTTTCTTTTTTATGTACAAAATTGTGCCGTCAAACTGTTGTATAAACGCAATATCACACTCGTAGCAGTTTGCTAGGGCTGTATATCAGCAATGGTGGGGCGCTAAGGCACTCAGCCTGCTGCCTTTTGCCAACGCACGTCTCCCACCAGTGCTGATATACAGCCATAGCACACTGCTCCAACCCTTGAAATGAGGCTACATATAAGAAATTCTTACCTCTGATTTATATTTGGTGATGACTGTGTCTGTGGGTGTCACTGTTCAAACAGAAAGTGCACCTTTTCACTTATGTCTATTTCTCATCATCATAAATAAAATAACAACGTATAACAGCTAAGCGGAATCCTGAAAAATAAACCAAACTCTGACCAATGTGAGGAGAGTTTTCTCTCATGTGAATTGTTTTAACTATTTTGTTCTGTTTAGAAACGTTGCCATGTGAAAGCGAACCGCACCATGAGCAAAACAACATTTTAACAATTTTAATCCCTGTTTCAGAACAAAACAATCCATCTACAGTTGTGAAAGCACTATAAGTTCAACTCTAATCATTCGATTGTGGATGTTTTTATTGATGTCTGACATTAGTTTACTGCATGTTTCACAGGGATTATACTACAATGTGTCAGGAATGCCGCTGTCGTCTCATCTGATTGGCTCAGCTCCTATCTGTAACAGCGGTGCAGTGGCTATGGGTGAGGTGATCGGCTCGGTGCCCATGGCGGACGAGATGAGCCAGAATGGATTTCTTCAGATCGAGATGGTGAAAGTGGGATCATCTCCATCACATTACAGAGAAGAACAGCAGAACACACAACAAATGCACATTGCAGACCCTCAACAGGAGCACACGCCGGTGGTAAGTCTGTGGGGATACACCAAATATTCTAAACATTGCAACCTTTTTTTTTTTTTTTGAACATTGTTTATTAGGTTTTTACAAGTTAAAAACAACATACAACAGAGTACAGAAGATCTATAATCAGCAAATATCCTCCCTATACATATATCCAACCCATAGTGCCACAGGTAAACCATGAATCTAATTTAATAAACAAACAAAAAGCATAGAAGGTGATATCTAAGTTTTCTGTCCTCTTGCACCCAAGTAATAAATAAAGCTGCCCAAGCATTTGACAAATAAATCTTGACGCTTTTTCAAACTAAATGCAATTTTTACTATGTAGGTCAGGGGTGTCAAAGCTTGGTCCTGGAGGGCCGGTGTCCTGCAGATTTTAGCTCCAACTTGCCTCAACACACCTGCATGGATGTTTCTAGAAAGCCTATTAAGAGCTTGATTAGCTAGCCCAGGTGTGTCTGATTGGGGTTGGAACTAAACTTTGCAGGACACCGGCCCTCCAGGACTGAGTGTGGACACCCCTGATGTAGGTGAATCCTTCTCATCTCGAAGCTAGCATAACAAATCTCATATTAACACATTCACTGACTCCAAAACTTATCCAAAAAAGGACCAGATGTACTGGGTATGTGTTTGAGTAAAATTATAATGTTTTGTTGTATTATTGTCCGCTAGTATTGCTTTCAAATTTATACAAAAATTTTCATTCAGAGCATTTGTTTTTGTTGTTGTTGCAGAAAATGATAATTTGTCAAAATAACATGTTTTCATTTGTTTTGATTGAACATTATTTCACCAAATATTGCTTTCATAACATTGAATTTAAAGTGAAAACCTTAATATTGTGTTGTCTTAAAATTAGTTGGCATTTTATTTATGTACAAAATGCTCTAATTGACAACATTTTATTTTCAATTAAGAAGCAATCATGTTTTTTTTTTTTTACAAAAACTTAACCATAAATAATAAAATCCTAAGAAAATCTGTAAAAAAATATTTATTTATTTATATAAATTTAAATAGATTCTTTTTACATGACTAAATAAACAAATACTGTCCAAATATCTTTCAAAAACACAACCATAAATGGAGAATAGAAAGAAAATAAGAAGAATATAAATTCAGAAATAAATAATAATTTTTTTTGTTTTTAGAATTTGTTTTTCAAATCAGTTCATTTAGTTGCCAGAAAAATATTTCTCTAATTTCCCTTTGTTAGTTGAAACTGCAAAATAAAAAAACGTTATATATATAATAAAGTAAATTAAATAAATAAAAATGTATCTTTATTCCAGCAAGACATGACTATAAATAATGAGATTCAGTGAAAAAAGGGGGGGAAATTTACTAAAATTGTTTTTATAGTTAAAAAATTCTAAAATATATTTAAAAAATGTAAACTATTAATGACTTAATGTCATTTTAAATCTTAAAAAAAAATATATATTTTTAATTAATTTTTGTTTATTTATGTATTGTATTTTTTTTCTTAATTTATAATTTATAGTTGTTTTTGAAAACAAATTGGGACAGTATTTTTGTTTATCACAAATATTCTCATTATTTAAAAAAAAACTATTTCCTCTAGTTGCCAGAAGATAATTTCTTTGATTTCCCTTTTGCTGAGTTCAGACTGCATGATTTTACCCCCGATTTTGACTTGGCGACTTTGAAAATCATCCAGTCTGAACTCGGCATTTGTTAGTTTAAATAAAACACCGATCTGCACCCATTTTTCCAGATTCACTTTAAAGGGACAGTTCAACCGAAGACTGAAAATTCTGTCATCATTTATACCCATCCTCCACTTGTTCCAAACCTGTAATGCACATTGCTTTTGCCAGATCACTCAGATCTTCAGTCTGGCGGGTCCAGAGACAGAAAGTGATCGAGACCCAGGCTTGATCGAGCTGTTCACGTCCCTCGGCCAGAGCGTCCTGCCGGCTCACTGGGTGTGTGTGATCGCCAAAGGCCCTGTCCTGCAGCTCCTGCAGTGCTCTAAACTCTCCACCATGGCAGACACCGTGGTCCAGATCGAGAAAGGCTTCTTCTACCAGGTCACCGTCCAGAACCAGCCTCTGCTGCTCATGCACAGCCTCTACTCTCGCCATCCCACCTGCCTGGAGAAAGTGGAGCATGTAGTGTCCCTCCTGCTGGATCTGGAAGCTCTGGGTGTTTGTCAGGGCTACCAAAACTTTCAAATGTGCTCGCCTTGGGAGCCTAAAATGTGTGTGCGAGCCGCACTATGCGATTTGCTCATTCCTAAGGATGATGAGCATTGTGGGAAATGCTCGCAGCCGGTGGAGGGATGAGTGATGATGGTTTTTCTTCCAGTAACATTAATTTACTGTACTTTTCGAATGACCACAAAGTCATCCGAGAGCATCTTCCGCCAGTTTTTAAGCTTCATTCAGGCCTGTTTCCAAACCTCACCATGAATCCTCATTCAGAACGGTGCTTATTTTATCTCCTTTAGTTGTCGGAAATGTAGGAAAAGTTGCTTTAGGAAAAAGACTTTCAGATTATGGAGGAGTGTTTCTGCCATGACATGACAAAGCTTTTGTTTTGTTTGTTTTTTATATCTGGAATTCTATATCTCATACTTCTGCATTTTTTCCCTCTCAAAATTCGGAGTTTAAGCCTCAACAAATGAGTTTTTTTTGCAATTGCAGGTTTATATTTCGAGTTTACGAATTGTCTTTACATTATATACTTTTTCATAATTCTGACTTTATTCCTTGGAATAATCTATATCTTGTTCTCAATCTCAGTTCTGGAGGTCCAATGTCCTGCAGATTTTAGCTTTAACCCCAATCAGACACACATGTGCCAGCTAATCAAGCTCTTACTAGGCCACAGGTGTCAAACTCAGTTCCTGGAGGGCCGCAGCTTTAGTTTCAACAGTTTAGTTTCCACCCTAATTAAACTAATTGAATCCTTCAGGCTTGTTTAAAACCTGCAGATATGTGCGTTGAAGCAGGGTTGGAATTAAACTGTGCAGATCAGCGGCCCTCCAAGATCTGAGTTTGACACCCCTGTACCAGGCTACCAAGTGTTTTCTAGAAACATCCTTAGAAGTGTGTTCAGGCAGGTTGAGCTAAAATCTGCAGGACACCGGACCTCCAGGACCGTGTTTGAGAACTCCTTATATAGACCATAGGTCTCAAACTCAATTCCTGGAGGGCCGGTGTCCTGCATACTTTAGATCCAACCCCAATCCGAACCTCTAAACTATATCATAGGTCTCAAACTCAATTCCTGGAGGGCCGCAGCTCTGCAGAGTTTTGTTTCAACTCTAAACAAACAAAGCTGATCCAGCGAATCAAGGTGTTCAAGACTACTAGACACTGGTAGTCTTGAACCCTGATCAAACACAGCTGATCCAACTTATCTGGATTACTAGACACTTGTAGTCTTGAACACCTTGATTATTTGGATCAGCTGTGTTTGATTTAGGGTTTAATCAGGAATTGAGTTTGAGACATATGATCTGTATCAGGGGTGCCCGAACTCAGTCCTGGAGGGCCGGTGTCCTGCATAGTTTAGATCCAACCCCAATCAGACACACCTAGGCTAACTTATCAAGCTCTTAGTAGTCTTACTAGAAACATCCTTGAGGCAAGGCAAGGTTTTGAGGCAAGTTGGAGCTAAAATCTGCAGGACACCGGCCCTCCAGGACATTGTTTAAGAACCTCTGATCTATATCATAGGTCTTAAACTCAATTCCTGGATGGCCACAGCTTTGTTTCAACTCTAATCAAACACAGCTGATCCAACTAATCTAGGCGATCTAATTAATCTAGATGTTCAAGACTACTAGACACTTGTAGTCTTGAACACCTTGACTATTTGAATCAGCTGTGTTTGATTAGGGTTTAATCAAAACTGCAGAGCTGCGGCCCTTCAGGAATTGAGTTTGAGACATATGATCTATATCTGGGTGCCCAAACTCGGTCCTGGAGGGCCGGTGTCCTGCATAGTTTAGATCCAACCCCAATCAGACACACCTGAGCTACCTAATCAAGCTCTTAGTAGTCTTGCTAGAAACATCCTTGGAGGTGTTTTGAGGCAAGTTGAGCTAAAATCTGCAGGACACCAGCCCTCCAGGACAGAGTTTGAGAACCCCTGATATAGTCCATAGGTCACATACTCAATTCCTAGAGGGCCGCAGCTCTGCACAGATTTGCTCCAACCCTAATCAAACACAGCTGATCCAACTAATCAAGCTGATTGAGCTTGTTAGTCTAGACCAGGGGTCATCAATCTCGGTCCTGGAGGGCCGGTGTCCCTGCAGGGTTTAGCTCCAGCTTGCCTCAACACACCTGCCTGGATGTTTCAAGTATACCTAGTGAGACCTTGATTAGCTTGTCCAGGTGTGTTTGATTAGGGTTGGAGCTAAAATCTGCAGGACACCGGCCCTCCAGGAACAAGTTTGGTGACCCCTGGTCTAGACCCTTGATAGTCTTGAACATCTTGATTGGTATATATCGGGGGTGCCCAAACTCAGTCCTGGAGGGCCGGTGTCCTGCATGGTTTAGATCCAACCCCAATCAGACATACCTGGGCTACCTAATCAAGCTCTTTGTTGGCTTGCTAGAAATGTTCTGGCAGGTGTGTTAAGGCGAGTTGAAGCAGAGCTGCAGCCCTCCAGGAATTGAGTTTGAGAAGCATCATCTCGCAATTGTACGTTTTATCTTGCGATTCTGATTTTATTTCTTACAATTTAAATTTTTACTTATGCATTGCTGTTTTTGTCTCTATTCCTCATGAATGCTCATAATTCCTGACATCTCATAGTATTTTCTGAGTTGCCAGTTTATTACTTACAATTGCTTATTTATTGGCTTTATTTCTTATAGTTCTGAATTCTTTTTTTTTCTTCAAATTGTACACTTTTTTTTTCCCCACAATAGCAAATTTATAGGCTTATCTTGCGATTCTGATTTTGTTTCTCACAATTCTAACCTTTTTTTCAGCATTGCTGTTTGTCTCATAACTCCATAATTGCTCATAATTCCTGACATCTCATAAGATTTTCGGAATTGCCAGTTTATTACTTTATTACTTTTTTTTTTCAATGGACTTTTTCCCTACAATTGTTCATTTGATAGTTGTCTTGAAATTCAGATATAATTCTTGGAATTTTATTTAATTTTTTTAATATTTTGCAATTCTGTTTTTCTGTGTGAATCGCAGCAATTGCTCATAATTCCTGTCATCTCATAGTATTTTCTGAATTGCTAATTTATTACTTGCAATTGCATATTTACTGGCTTTATTTCTTATAATTCTGGCTTCTTTTTTCTCTGAATTCATTTTTTTCCCACAACAGCAAGTTTATAGGCTGCAAAATTGTATTTATATCATGCAATTTTAAGCTTTTTAATTCAATTGACTTTTTCCCTACAATTGTTCATTTATTAGTTGTTTTTAAAATTCAGATATAATTCTTGCAATTTTGGTTTTGTGTTGATATCTTGCACTTCTGACTTTCTCTATGTGAATCGCCGCTTAATTTTTAGCAATTTTAAGTTTTATCTTGCTATTCTGATTTTGTTTCTCACAATTCTAACCTTTTTTTCAGCATTGCTGTTTGTCTCAGAACTCCATAATTCCTCATAGTTGCTCATAATTCCTGACATCTCATAATATTTTCTGAATTCCCAGTTTATTCCTTTATTACTTATTTTTTTATCATGGAATTTTTAGGGTTTTTTTTCAATCGACTTAATCCCTACAATTGTTCATTTGTTAGTTGTCTTGAAATTCAGATATAATTCTTGCAATTTTATTTTTTTATATATATATTTAGCAATTCTGAGTTTTTCTGTGTGAATCGCAGCTTAATTTTTCTCAATTGTAAGTTTTATCTTGCGATTCTAAATTTAATTTCTTTTACATTTGCTGTTTTTGGCTCAAACTTCCTCATAATTGCTCAATTCCTGCCATCTCACAGTATTTTCTAAATTGGCAATTTAATACTTGCAATTGCATACTTATTGGCTTTATTTCTTATAATTCTGACTTCCTTTTTCTCTAAAGTATATATTTTGTCCCCCATAATAGTAAGTTTATAGGTTATTTCTCACAATTGTTTAAATCTTGCAATTTTAGTTTGTTGTTTATCGCAATTCTGAATTTTCTGTGTGCATTGCAGCTTAATTTTTAGCAAATTCTGATTTTAATATTTACAATTCTAACCTTTTTTTCAGCATTGCTGTTTGTTTCTTAATTCCATAATTACTCATAATTGCTCCTAATTCCTGACATCTCATAATATTTTCTGAATTGCCAATTATTTCTTATAATTCTGACTATTTTTTTCTCGCAGTAGCAAGTTTATCGTTTACACAATTGTGTTTAGATCTTCCAAGATTTATTTCAGGAATTGTGACCATCTCTCAATTGTGCATTTCTAACATTTTTTTCTTGCTATTCAGAACGTTTATATCATGGCAGAAACGATCTTCCATACAAAAAAGCGAGAGCTTTACTGCAGTCCCTTTTTTATGTTTCTCTCCAGTTTGGGAGTGCATAAAAATTACATTCAGTTCTCATTCAAACTACCTCTCGATCATTTTTATAGACCAATTTTAACCTTAAACCTCCCAGGTGCTCTTATCCAGGCTGAGTTATTGATCCATGAACATGTTTATTGCAGTACAAAGAAAAGTCTTGTGCTGCGTTTATTCTGGTTAGTTTAAGGTTGTACATTCAAATCTAAAGTTGCATCAACTGTACTTGAACACCAAAATCAATCAGCCTTTAGAAATTGTCTACATATTTGTTCATATTTTACACTGTATTTAATTTGTTCTCACCCCAAAGCAAGCACATAGTCTTTTATCATGTGTTTTATGTTTTCATAATATGTTTTTTAGCTGTATTGGGGTGCTTTTATGCAACAGCAGATGCGATCTGGTCTTTTTTTGTCCCGTTGTTAATCACACCTGCTTTCGTGTGACTGAATTGTGTTGCGCGTGATGAACTGCAGCTAAAGGCTCAGTGCATTACTGTGCTGTTTTGCTTATTAATCGCAGCCCACTGTAGACGCCCGAATCATTTTTAACACCGATTGGCCTTTATATGGTGTTCGTAAATATCACTTCTGTTAAAGCGGAGCATTTAAAATGATTCGTTTTTATTTTAGTTTAATCTTTATTTTTGGTTCTCATTCCTGGGTGATTTTAATTCAACTATTCAAATAGAATTGATGTGTTTATTTTGGCCTCTACCCTTGAGAGATGTGTACAAAATGAGCTGTAAAATACATAATTGTCTGAAATTATTTATAAATGGAGGATCAGAGCATCTCTGTGTTGTAAATCTTGCTCTTTTTTTCGTCAGTTTAACCAACAAGGTCAGTTTTTGAAACACTGTAAAGTAAGATTTTTATGAAGGGTGGGGAAAATAAAGTTTTTCTTTCTTAAATATTGATGACTGTTGGTTTTTTTTCATCTGAATCATTTTGATCTGTGATTTAAAGCAGTGGTTTACAAATTTGCACTGAAAAATATTATTAATTAGACTTAAACGGCGCTTTTTTTATATAGCATTGTTTATTAGTATGCTGATTAGGTGTTTATGCAGGATTCTTGGCCTATTTACACCTTATGTGAATAAATTAATATGACACTTTTTGGGCAAAATGGCATTTTTGCATGATATTACATATTTCATATGTTATAAATTAACTAAACTAAATTTAAGAGACTATATTTAATTGCTTAGTCATCCAGTGAATTATTTGATTGGCCTCTCAAGCAATAGTATCTGGATTTAGCTTTTATGATGCCAGCTGAGATTGCACCTCTCAGTGGTTTAATGTCAGACACAATGCACTCAGTTGAGCGAGTGACATCACTGTGGGTGGGGTTAGGGATGGGGTTAGGTGAGCCCATTAAAAAGCATTGGATGCAGCTCAGATCGCACTGCACCAGGTCTGCATCCAGACCCCTCTTCTTTTAAGATGTTTTTTGAGAAGTGAAATCAGGCTAACAAACATGCTGAAAAAACTGCTAAAACCATCTAAGACCAGTCAGCCTGACCAGCAAAGAGCAGCCTGACAAGCTAAAACCAGCTAAGACCAGCCTGTCCAACTAAGACCAGCTAAAAAGTGGCCAAACCCCCTCTAAAACCAGCCTGACCTGCTAAGACCAGGTAAAGCCAATCTGACCAACTAAGACCAGCTAAAAAGTGGCCAAACCCCCCCTAAAACCAGTTTGACCAGCTAAGACCAGGTAAAGCCAACCTGACCAACTAAGACCAGCTAAAAAGTGGCCAACCCCCCTTTAATACCAGCCTGACCTGCTAGGACCAGCTAAAAACAGCCTGTCCAACTAAGACCAGCTAAAAAGTGGCCAAAACCCCTCTAAAACTAGCCTGACCTGCTAAGACCAGCTTAAACCAACCTGCCCAACTAAGACCAGCTAAAAATTGGCCAAACCCTCTCTAAAACCAGCCTGACCTGTTAAGATCAGTAAAAACCAGCTAAGACTAGCCTGACTAACTAAGACCAACGAAAAGGTGTCCAAACCCCTCTAAAACAAGATAATGACCAGATTGACTAGCTAAGACCAGCCTAACCAACTAAGATCAGCTAAGAAGTGGCCAAAACCCCTTTAAAACGAGCCAATGACCAGGATGACCAGCTAAAACTAGCTAAGACTAACCTGACCAACTAAGAACAGCTAAAAAGTGGCCAAAACCCCTCTAAAACCAGCTAATGACCAGATGGACCAGCTAAAACCAGCCTAACCAACTAAGACCAGCTAAGAAGTGGCTAAAACTTCTCTTAAACTAGCTAATGACCAGATTGACCAAGACCAGCCTCCAACAAAGACCTGCTAAGAAGTGGTCAAAACCTTCTAAAACCAGCTAATGACCAGATAGGCCAGCTAGAACCAGCTAAGACTAACCTGACCAACCAAAAACAGCTAAAAAAGTGGCCAAAACCAGCTAATAACCAGATTGACCAGCTAGAACCAGCTAAGACTAACCTGACCAACCAAGAACAGCTAAAAAGTGGCCAAAACCCCTCCAAAACCAGCTAATGACCAGATTGACCAGCTAGAACCAGCTAAGACTAACCTGACCAACTAAAAACAGCTAAAAAAAGTGGCCAAAACCCCTCTAAAACCAGCTAATGACCAGATAAGACCAGCCTAACCAACTAAGACCAGCAAAACCCCTCTAAACCCAGCCTGGCAAACCAGCTGAAACCAGCTTGGGTGACCAGCTAAAACAATCCCGACCAGCTTAGGCTGGTTTAAGCTGTTTTTTAGAGTAACCCAGAGAGAATGTAATGGTAACATTCAGACAAAATATTCCTAATATAATGTTAGTAATTTTTCCCAACATAAATGTTTTCATTTTGCTTGAACATATAGGGCCAGTTTCACAAACAGGGCTTAGATTAAGCCAAGACTAGGCCTTAGTTAAATTAGGCTATTTAAGAAACATTTATAAAAAAAATGGCCTTAGAAAAATATGACTGATGTGCACCTGGAGACAAAAAAATGACACTGACATATTTTAAGACATCTCACCGCAAGTTATTTTGAGTTGAGTCAGCTCAAACAAGCTTTTTAATCTTGACTAGCCTTAAACCTTGTTTGTGAAACCGGGGGATAGAGTGTTGTCGTATTTGAGTGTTATGCTGGACTCAGAGGGAGCGTTCTGTCAACATAAAAAAAAATCCTGGCTGACATAACCCACAGAGAATGGTATGGTAACATTCTTGGAAAACAAATTCCCTGCTGGTAATATGCTAACCATTTTGCACAGCATAAAGTGTCATTTTGCTTGAGCTGAGCATATTTTAGAGTATTGTCATATTTGAGCTTGACTTCCACTCATGTATCTGCATTTCTACTGTTTTCCACAAGATGGCCTCACCCTCTTGTTTTAGTAGTAGCTTGGAAATAAAGCAGATGCTTAAAGGTACAGTTCACCCACAGACGAAATTCTGTCACCATTTAATCACGCTTGACTTGTTCCAAACCAGTTTGAGTTTTTTTTTCTGTTGAACACAGAAGAAGATATTTTGAAGAATGGTTTGTGTTTTAAAGAATTTACCAGTTTGATGTTTCATTTTTGGATGAGCTGTCCCTTTAAGAATGCACAGAAGAGATGATTTTCTCTTTTGACATCTCTACGATAGATGTCAAAATGTATTTTTGTATTTACAGTTTGTGTTGAGAACACCTGCAGTCAGTTCCTATGGGTTGAAACGGAGACCAGAGAGAGAGAGAGAGAGAGACTCATTCATGGTGTTTTTTGATTTCTGAATGAGTTTCTTTGTTTCCATACGGAAGCGCCAGGAAAGTGACTCAGTGACCTTCCGTCTGATATCTGCTTCTGCATTCAGTAAATGTCTGATAAAGTCATATCCTCTTTAAGAATCAACAGTTTTAGCTTGTATTGTGCTTTCAGTAGAGCAAGCAGTTGCAAAGTAGGCTAGAGAAAGCTGTCGAACACAGGCCTATACCTACATATGTCATTTATATGTAGTTTTTATTTATAATTTAACTTCATTGCAGCTAATCTTTTAAAAAATATGGGGGAGGCGATGCGAAAGCTAGAAAGTCCCTGGTTCAAGCCCCGGCGGGGTCAGTTGGCCTTTCTGTGTGGAGTTTGCATGTTCTCCTCGTTTTGGCTGATTGGCTGTTGGCTGATTTCCCCCACAAGTCCAAAGACATGCGGTTCAAGTGAATTGGGTATCCTAAAATCGACCGTAGTGTATGAGTGTGTGAATGAGTGTGTATGGATGTTTCCCAGTGATGGGTTGCAGCTGGAAGGGCATCCACTGCGTAAAACCATATTATGTATAAGTTGGCGGTTCATTAATAAAGTGACTAAGCCGAAAATAAAATGAATGAATAATTCATGGGCAGCACGGTGGCGCAGTGTGTTGCACAATTACCTCAAAGCAAGAAGGTCGCTGGTTTGAGCCCCGGCTGGGTCAGTTGGCATGACTGTGTGGAGTTTGCATGTTCTCCCTGTGTTGGCGTGGGTTTCCTCTGAGTGCTCGGGTTTCCCCCACAAATCAAAAATATGTGGTAAAGGTTAAATGGGTAGGCTAAATTGTCTGTAGTGTATGGATGTTTCCCAGTGCTGGGTTGCAGCTGGAAAGGCATTTGCCACGTAAAACATGCTGGATAAGTTGGCGGTTCATTCTGCTGTGGCAATCCCTGATTAATAAAGGGACTAAGCCGAAAATAAAATAAATGAATGAATATTAATTCATCATTTTGTATTAAAAGTTCACTCAAAAAATTAAAACGATCATTTATTCTCTAATGTGATTTTAAACCTTTTTAAAGATGGTTTAAAAGATATTTTAAAGAATGGTTGCCTGGTACCCTTTGACTTCCATAGTAGGAAAAGAATTACTGTGGATGTCAATGGATGTTATTTTGTCTTTGGAGCCTTAAGCCCCTGATGTATTGTCAATAGCCCCTGATCTTTTGGAATATGTTGCACTTAAATAAAGCTGGGTTGTATAACATTTATTTTGTTATCTAAGTACTTAAAATAACTACATCACGCGCATTCCACTTCACGCAGCGTTTGTGTCGGGTAATTAAATAGTCAGCTGTTCAGTACCTGTTTCTACCGGCTGGTGGGAGTGGCACTGTTGTCACATGGTGTTAAAAAACTGCACTGTCATCATTCATCCATTTTTTTTATTTTTTATTGACTTCAATCTCAAACATACAAAATTCAATTTACACAAAGGAACACAATGACAATAACAGATCAGGATAAATTATATAAACATTAAAAATTAAATAAAAAGAGAAACAAAAGAGAGAAAAGAAAGAAAAAAATAAATAAATAAGATTAAAAATATACATAGCACAACTACAGCAAGATGAAAGGAGGACTAATGTATCCGTGCTGTTTCCAAAATATTCATCATAAAAAACAAAAAATCTACCACTTTTCTTATTATTGACTAATCTAAGAGATTTAATAAAAACATCAATTTCCATTAAAAAATGTGAAAAAGAAGGCTGCGAACTGGAGAATTTTTGTTTATGGATAAAATATTTTCCATACAAAATAAAAAAGTCAATAATGTAATTCTCTGATACATCAGCCCCACCTCCATAATAGCAAACAACATCCTGAAGATGAAAGGGTCTGGAAGAAGCAATGTGGTTACCTATATGGAGATATAATTTTTTCCAAAAGGTTTTTGTGCTTTCACATTGAAAAAATATGTGAATCAGCGTGTCGTCTTCACTCTCACAAAATGTGCATGAACTGTCAATCTCCAAATACTTTGCCAAAGTACCGTTTACTGGGGTCATCATTCATCCAGTATTTTGAGGAGCTGAAGTTGATGAGGTAATAATACAACTGTTTCACGAAACTTAATAGTTCTAAATACTGATGAAGCTTAATATTTGTTTTCACAGTATAAAAT